ATTGGCGTCTTGCAGTGAAACGTTTCCAAGCTTTACGAAGTGAGAACTACTAAAAGGAGGATAGTTTCAAAATTCTCCCAGTAAAACAGACGATTTTTGGGGCAAATAATAATTTCCGGTGGAAACTTTTGCTTGAATCGTGTAAGAAAACGTGTTTGCAAAATAACTGTTTTTATTTCGGTATGGGGCCTCCCTTAGCTCAGTCGGTAAAGGCGCAGCTACAAAGCAAGACCATGCTGGAGGTGGCTGGGTTCAATTCCCGGTCCGGTCTAGGAATTTTTCGGGTTGGAAAATTTCTCGACTTCCCTGGGCATAGACGTATGATTGGACTTGCCACACAATTATACCAATGCAAAAATGGTACAGGCATCGAAAGATCTCAATTAATAACTGTGGAAGTGCATCTAGAACACTAAGTTGAGAGCACGCAATAAGCTAATATGCGATATGCAATAAGCTTGAAATGCGAAGAAGAAGAAGAAGAAGAAGAAGTATTTCGGTATATGGATCGGAGATGTTTTCATGGAAAATTATGCATAACAAGTTTGCACCCACAGGTAGAGATTACCTCCTGCGCAGCTGAATTTTTCGAAAAATGGTGAATATGTGCGATTTCCACTAGGATGAAAGTGAAAATAAGTTAATTTACTTAGGAAAGATTGTATCATGCTGGTGATAATGGGGAAATGGTTGTATAGGACGCCAATATTCAATAAAATATTCATGATGGCCTTTTTAGGTTAACATATTGATACTCACAATTTTCGACGGAAAACGCAACGGAACTTCATTTACTCAACACGCACCATACTATAAAATGGTGCTCGATGGTTTCTAAAGTGATAACAAGATGACAAATCATCTTTATTTTGAGTAATGGAGCAATTTACTTCTGTTTACATCATATCAGGCATAACATTTGATAACGGCACAAATGCATTTGTTAACAAACTTTCTAAAGCCCTTTACACGCGAGCCAAAGTATGCTCACGCAAACCAATACCACTTTCGGAAAGGTGATAGTTATCAAATGTTATGCCTGATATATACGATGCAGCATAGACGAGTGCACGGATGGATTTGAGTTCACTCACTCGACAAAAAGTGACACAACAGCGGGGCTCTGTTTACTAAAAATGAACACATGAAATTTGAAACGGGTCTATCATATATGTAAACAAAAAATTCGCTCACGCAAACTAACAACACCATCGGGCAAAGGAAATTCTCCCCTTCCCGATTGGAAGATTGCCGCAAAAGCTCAACGCAGATGTCGCTACTGCATGATGATGATACTGTTGACAGACTGCATATAAAATTCGTGAAAATTAGCATTAAATCATAATTTTCATCAAGCCTGCGTGAAATCCTTCCAATATAACATTCGAATTGAAGAAGAAAACGTTTTTACGATCAGAGTGATGTTCATCTTTGACTTTTCCAGGTGAACTTTCATAAGATATATTCATTTCATTTCACGGCTCCATCAATGCTGCATCGTAAATATGATGGTAAACAGAAGTAAATTGCTCAATTACTCAAAATAAAGATGATTTGTCATCTTGTTATCACTTTGAAGACCATCTAGCACCATTTTATAGTATGATGCGTGTTGAGTAAATCAAGTTCCGGTGAGTTTTCCGTCGAAAATTGTGAGTATCAATATGTTTGCTTAAAAAAGGCCAAAATGAACATTTATTGAATATTGGCGTCCTATACAACCAATTCTCCATTACCACCAGCATGATACAACCTTTCTTAAGTAAATTAACTTAATTTCCACTTTCATCTTAGTGAAAATCGCACATATTTACCATTTTCTGAAAAATGCAGCTGCGCAGGAGGTAACCTCTCCCTGTGGGTGCAAACTTTTTATGCATAATTTGCCATGAAAACATCTCTGATCCATACCAAAATAATAACAAATATTTTTCAAACACGTTTTCTTACACGATTCAAGCAAAAGTTTCCACGGGAAATTATTAGTTTTTCTTTATGGACCGATTTGCCTCAAAAAGCGTCTGTTTTACTTGGAAAATTTGGAAACTATCCTCCTTCTAGTAGTTCTCACTTCGAAATATAGGTGGCGAAAGCTTGGAAAAGTTTCACTGCAAGACGCCAATAGTGCTCTTGGTTTGCGTGGGCATACTTCGGTTCTCGTAAAAGGTCCTAGCAAATTATTTACAAAAGTTGACAGGCCCTTTTTAAAAGTTACGCGAGAATTATTCATCCCGTCCAACCATTTCGTTAATTTTCTATACTTCGATCTTCAAGTGAAAAATCGATAGCGATCGTCACCATTTCATGACTAGTTGTAAAGATGCTAAAAGTCTAATCGTGATAAAGATCTTTCTCAAAATATTGCTACCAATCGTTACCAATATTTAAATATCGATTGTGTTGCCAGATCACAATACCGATTTCTGTTGTAAAATCAAAATATCGATACACAACTGCTGATTTTATTTGTGATTTTTTATTTGCATGATTTCTAGTTTCGATCCCATGCCATCTGGGGTGTACTGATTTCGTTGTTGGTTGCTAATCCTCGGGTCCACGGCTACTGTTGATGAGCTTATAAACGACAGGCAAACACACTCTAGTATGTGGTGTATTAAAATTTCTGTAAATCTTTTCATACATGAATTCAATATTTATTTGTCATAACCATCAACCAGTCAGCCATGTAGGTGTAAAAGAGGTCAAAAAGGTATCAATTTTACTCATTGGGTTCCAAATTCCGAGAATCCCACCACGCATCACGGGTTATTAAATATATAGACGTAAACTTGATGAACTACAATGGTAAACATTTGCTGCGTCGCGGCCATCGGTCTTCTCGTTCATTTACCGGCAGATTGCTTCTTCCGATGAAATGTCGAATATGTCGATAAATAATATAAATATTGCCATCTGTCACCTGGTGTGTCTCGTACTCTCTTTAACCAGCCATGCAAATCGTTAACAAGAAGTTTATAAATGTGCATCGATGGCAATCTTTGTTATTCTTTGTCAAAGTTCAAAATTACGATGATATCAGCACAAACGAAGTGACAGACGGAGCGGCTCGAAAACTTTGGTGACTAACCTGCTATTTGAATTTTTCAGTGTACCACATGGCAACACCACTACTAGTGGATTGAACCACATGGCAACACTACTATTGGATTGAACTAGCATTTTCACCAAATGTACTAGAATATTTTGGTTCTATCTCTTTCACTCTACTCAAAACTGAAATGCATAAAAAAATGACAAAATGATACGCACTCTTTGCACACTGTCAAAGAATCATTGTACACAAAATCAACTTTGTTCAAATCAAAACAAAAAAACTAACCCATCTGGTGGATGATGGCAAAAGCTTCCAAGAAAATTCTATTACAGTGAACCACATTATTTAAATGGATTTCTTCGCCAGTAAGTCGTCTGTCACTTCGTTTGTGATATCAGTATTTAAATATTTATTGATGAATATTTGTAAAGAATACTAAAGTCCATGTGACATATCGAAATTAAAAGAAATTTCGTATGGCACCTTTAAAGATTACTATCATATCAAGCATAACTTTTCAAAAGGACGTAAGTCGCAAAAATAAACAAATCGATATTTTGCACATTTTGCATCTAACCGAATATAAAATACATGCTTTTCCTACGAGTTAATGAAAAACAAGGTTTGAAATTGTAATGCATTATGGAAAATATATTTAATGAACGCCCTATGTGACCTTCTTTCATTGTTTTTAAAATGGTGTTGATACACCCTTTTATTGTCAACATGACTTAACTGTTAAAATTTGATGATAACACAAAAACTGCAGATATGCTCACAGTGAAGCGTCGTATGTGAAAAAACAAAGCAACCACTATCAATCAGCAAATGCGTCAAGTTTGTATGTTTGTTTTTGTATTTCCGGGAGCAACATGTCTATTATTTCAAAAGTATTCTAATAAAATTGCACTTAAATCTTGACTTTAATATTGAACTTCACATACCAATCTGACCAGCGCTTTCTTAATACGAAAAACACAAAACGTATAACATCTGACGGCAGATAATGCGGTACCCTCTCATCTCCGCTTTTAACATCGATTATTTCACAACTCTGGGGAGTTATGTGAATAAACCAACCAACCGACAATTCCACAATGCTTTTCGAGCTGCCGACGTATCTTCACTGCAAAACAAAAACCGGTGTATCTGATTTGACGTATGTGAAAACCCTTCTGTCAAATAGACGAATCATGCAGGGTGTATGTAACAATCAAGGTGTGATACCGAGGAATCAATCAGGGTGTATGTGAGTAGTACACAAGTAAAAGGTGCATGATTTTGTTTTATCAAAAGTCTTGTCCGTGTTTGCAAAACTCTACATTTTTCACAATTTTCTTAAACGCTATCCCTTTATCCATCTAATAGCACAAACAGATTTAAAAAAATAGCATTAACTTTTAAATAGCATTTAATAATCTCATATAAACATCCCTAATAAACGGACACCATACACTAACGATACCATAGATGGTACGAACATACCTCATAAAGTTGGGATGATATCCCGAATTGGTGGATAGGCGCTTCTTATGGTTATTGTTTATGCGTGATTGCTATCCAATGTTTCCAATTTCCTATCCAATGTTACATACGTCCTTTTGAAAAATTATGCTTGATATGACCGATCAAGAAATAATCTTAAATGTAAGTATCGATCAATAAAGATTTTTAAATGTGTACATCGAAATCATAGAAAATTTAAAGTAAAGAATTGCCGACATTAATCTTTATTTCTGTATAAAGAACTTTGAAGAAGTTTCACGAACGGTTGGTCGGGTATTGGTTTGCGGTCGTTTTCTATTGTTGCTCCAGAAATAGATTTACCCATTAATGGGTTTTCACCAAATACCGTGTGCTCATTCCTCCCGATGTGTGAAATTCATTCATGAATATCTATAGGTACCGTTGTGTGCGTGAGCCATCGTCATCGCTGATGCGGGTGTGTCAACTTAACGGTGTCAACCGTGAGAACATAAACAAAAGAGCGTGTGATTGCGCTTATTTCCCATCATTGTTTACCGTTTTTCCTTTGTTGCATAGGCGTTTTCCTCAGTTTTCCATAGATTTCCGCTGCCCCAATGTGCGATCCGTTCGGTGCCAGTGAAAATGAATAGAGTTTGTTGGTTTTGAGCGAGATAATAATTGACTAGAAAAAGATGCCACGGCCGAAAGGGAGCAGGATAAAGTGTTATTCGTCATCAACTTCGCTGCTTTATTCGGGGGCATTGGTGGTTTGTTTTCTTGTGGTGGCCGGTTGCACCCTGATCGAAGGGCAGAAGGGGCTTTTCTTTGGGTGCTACGAGCGGGATAGATCCGGCCAGTTGGGGTTCCTTACCGATAAGTTGGACAACTGCATCGGTCAATGTGAACTGAACTTTTACAGGTACTGGGGGCGTGGAGATACTGGTTTTAGGAAAAGGTGAATGACCTCATTTTGCGTTTCAGATATGCCGCGCTGTCGGATACGCAGTGCGCGTGCTTCAACACGATCCGATCACGGCAGATCGAGGATAAGGAATGCAATCTCCGGTGTCGACAGAGTGAGGATCTGTCGTGTGGGGGTGATCATGCGCAAAGTTTCTACGAAACAGGTGTGGAAGTTGCTGGACCAGTGAAGAATCTCAAGCTGATTGGAAGCGAGAAGGGAAGTACGATTGAGGTGTCCTGGGATCCTCCGTCTCTGGATGGAGTTCCGGTGGACGAGTTCGAAATCAATGCACACGCAATCTCGACCTACGCCAACTACCGGTTGTATCCGATGAGTTGGAGTGTCCACAGTAACACACAGTCGTTTGAGTTGTCGAATCTGAAGCCGGGAACGCGTTACAACATCACCGTGACCAGTGTTTCGGAAAAGGGACCCGGAGGGATGAGGTGGCTGGTGGCACAAACGGAAATCGACACACCGGATCCGGAACCGGAGGAGCCGGTCATACTGAGGCGATTGGATTCGACGATTCAGATCCAGATTCAGAAGGCGATTAACAACAACGGACCGATTAATTACTACCGGGTGGTGGTGCATTACGTGAACAACGATCTGGTACAGGAGTTCGACGAGAGTCTGCTAGATACGTACCAGCGGTCCACCGATAAGGGCGTCCCGTACTACGTTGCGGCGGAGGTGGAAATGAAGGTATGATCGTTTGGGGAATCTTTTATATTTTCAATAAAAAGTGCTCATTTGACTTGATTTTTTTTTTTTCCAGGATGATTCTCTCCTGTTCGTCGTAGGCGATGGTCGTTACTACCGAAACTTCTTCAATCCTCCGATTCCTCCCCGGGCACATGTGCACATTTCCATCGGCATCGTAAGCATTCTGAACAACGTCATCAAGGTCCGTTATGCCACGAGGACCAACGAGCAGCACCAGCATCCGGACCACTACCACGTGAATTCAACCAACGCGCCGGAGAGGAACGAAGCTCTCATCACCGTCCTGGTCGTTGCCTGCGTCCTTTTTGGAATCGTGCTTCTCGGTAGCATCGTGCTCTACGTTTACCTACGGTATAAAACCCCGGGGAATAACCGCCCCCTCCGGGACCACCACGAGATGGCATTGCAGGGCCCGATTCTGGAAGTGGAGAACAACGGCTACATTCCGGACATTTACGAACAACGAGGATTCGAGGCGGAACTGCACGATATCATCGATTCGTTGGCGGTCCATCAGAAGCACGCTCGGAAGAACCTCTCGTTGGAGATCAACAACATTCTGGGGTCTGGGAAGTACGGTGACATACTGAAGGGAAGAATTCAACACGAAGGCGTCGATCTGCCGGCTCAGGTGCACGTCATTTCCGATGATATGGACAAGATTGATCAGATTGGATTTTTGAACGAGTTTCGACGGGTGATCAAGCTGGAGCCCCACGTGAATGTGTTGCAGTTGTACGGAGTTTGCGTAACGCCAGACTGGTGCTACGTACTGTTCGAGGAGATGCAAACCACTCTGAAGCAGACCCTGCTCAACGCAAGGATACCAAATAACGTAAATAGTCCAAAGTTTTCCACCATCTCGGAGGAGATTATTGTCAACATTTTGTGCTTGGTGTGCGATGGAATGCAGTACTTGATCGAGAGCAACGTAAGTTCTTAATGTATGTTGATTTAGGATTTCCTTAATTGACACTTCCTCCTTTCCTACAGATCATCAACAAGAAACTCTGCGCCCGAACCGTCTACGTCAACACCAAGTTCGAGGTGAAGGTGAGTGCCTTTGGACCGCCTCTGTACGGGGACAACAACGGCCAACAGATAGACATTATCCGCTGGAACGCCCCGGAGGTCATCAAGTTCCAGAACCACACCGCCAAAAGTGATGTCTGGTCGTTTGGGCTGCTCATCTGGGAGTGCTGCTGCCTGGGTGCAACCCCATTCGGATCGACCACAACGGAGAATCTCTTTGCCAGCATACGGGCTGGCAGCCGGCCGGAGAAACCCAGCTTTTTATACGATGACCTCTATCAAATGTGCCTTAACTGTTGGGATCTGGACGCTGGCGATCGACCCGAATTTGACGACATCAGTCGCTACCTGAGACAGACACTGCCCATGCTGCGCTACATGCTGTCCTTCGAACGGAACCAAACCGTACAGATACCGCCGTACTTACCACACCTGGAGATGACTCCATGAACAACCGACAGCAATCTCACAAATAATCACAGAAGAAAAAAAAAAACAAATTGTAATTTTAGGACAATATGAAACGATAAGTATTCTCTACTCTGAATTCCGTCCGTTTTGAGTATATATATATATATATAATTTTCTGACTGCAAAAGATATTATCTCTAGCTAATAGTACCTTAACAGTACAGAATTGTTGTATTATGGATTTTTTTATAGATATATTGAACATTAAAAGTGAATTAAACTTTTTGAACCGGACTCAACGTACCTATGCATTCGTCTTTGTTTTGATTTTCGGCAGATGCACGGGAAAAAAAGAGTTCACATATTCGTGAACCACAGCCGTGAACCATAGTTCACGGTGTATATTTGAGAAAATTTTGTTCTGGATAGTTGGCCGTGATTTTTAGTTCACGGTCCGTTCCCGTTTTCGGGAACGGATTTTTTTCCGAGTGGGAATAAAAGCTGTAAAAGAAATTTCCGAGATGGCCAACAATCGGACCCGAAAGGTAGTGCAATCATTTATTGGAGAAATCGCGCGTAAGTCCATCTAGTACAAATGCTGGAAAGCGGCAAAAAACCGAACCGAGGTCCTATGTGGTTGCTCTACAAATAAATATGTTAGACTCTATAGTTTGGAATGGTTTTTCTCGTTCAATATTTCTGAGATATGTAGAAGAGGTGTCTAATAATCTAATCTAGGCGGATCCAAAAACTGCTATCGTTTTCGGTCAAAAATGTGACTTATGACTCAAGTAGTTTCCTTACAAATTTCTTTGTAAATTACTTCAAGCATCGCGAGCCTTAACATAGATCAAATCGATGTCAACATTTCAATAGGGTGAAACTGCTTTTGTAGTTTTAATGTATTCTTTGTAAGAAGGGCAAACATGGGACACAAATTTCTTCCAATTCTAACCGACTGTAATACACCAAACGCTTTGTGACACATAAACACGTAGCCATTGTTACGATCTAATCAGTAAATTTAGAGAAAAAAAAACCCCCTTACCATCCCCCCATACCTTAAACCAGTCCGGAAACATCTCCCGGATCGATGGATCCCGCGGAATCCTCCGTCGGTGGGCTCACCAGGGCAGCCGGAATGTTCAGCGTCTTCCCCGGGCATAGGGCCTCGTACTGGTGCTTCAGACTTTCCAGCTCGAAATTACAGGTGGCCAGGGCGGTTCGCAGCTCGCACAGCAGCACCATGTCCGAACGCAGCTCGTTAAATGCGACGCAAATTTCCTCGATCGGCGGCGGGTTCGGATCGACCTTGAACTCCTGCAGTGCCTGTTCCAGTGCCTTTGCCTTCTTCTGACCCACGTTGGCGGGCAGTTTCATCTTCTGCGAACGCAGCGAGACGCCCGTTCCGCGCAAATCGGTAAATTTGATCCCGGCCGTTTCGACGGCATTCACGACCGAGTCCACCTTGGAGGGACGCGGTTGCTGTTGGATTTTCTTCTTGAGCTTTTTGTCATGCTTCTTGTGGGAACTGGCAGCGTGCTGTTGCTGCTGTTCTGCCTGCTGTTGATCCGCTTGCGAGATCAGCTTCTGCAAGTCCTGAGTCTTGCGTTCCCGTTCCTTCTTCCGTGCTTCAATCTTCTTCAGCTCGTTCAGAAGCATCTGTTCTTCCTCGATTTGCTTCGGCGTTCGATCAAATAACTTCTTCAGTTGTTCCTTTCTCTTACGCTCGTGCTCCGCATCGAACGAGTAAATCTTCTTCTCCGGTGTTCCACGAACTTTGTTTAAAACTCCAATCACCTCATAGTAGCGCTCCTTCAGATCCTCCACAGTCTTGCACCCATAGTTAGCCCTATCCCACCGGTCAGTCATTATAATGAACCGCACATCGAACCGCTTGGCCAAATCGAACAGGTGGTCAGTTTGCGGCTTCGTCCACTTGGTCGGATTCGTCTTCAGATGCGTATTGTACTCGTTCATGGTGTAGCTAGGGATGTCCAACTGCTTGTTGAACTTGGCAAATGGGTACTCCTTGGGTTCATCGGAGCCACGCTTCCAGTGGTGGAAGACAGCGCCATCCGAACGGGCCGGATTCACAAACGGTGCCCAATGCCAGCGGCGAACCTTCTTCATGCCGAGCCGAGCTTTCGTCTGTTTGTAGCCGGTTCCGGTGTCGGTGGGAAGCAGTGGTGGGGCATCCTTGTTGTCATTGTACAACAAAGCAAACACCTCCCGGTGCATGCCCTCCGGACGTTTCACCGCTAGTTTTCTGATGAAAAAACATGAAAAACAAATCTATTTTCCAGGACAAAATTCAATGAAAAAGACATACTTCTCATAGATCTTCTTGTTCTTGGCTAGCAGCGATTCCTTGGTCAGCTCCGGTGTGACCGGGCGTTCCAAATCGAGAATGTCTCGAACATCTGCCATCGTGCAGATGTAGGTGGTACTTTAGTTCAACTTTTGCACAGTAATTTAAAAAAAAATTGCGGTAAACTTTTAGTAAAAAATGATAATTAAAATGTTGAGTAAAACCAACACCTTGACTTTGGTTCTTAGTTTTTTTTTTGACAGATGGGTGATGTTTGCAAACATTTCAAAACAAACGCATTAGGTTTTGCACCGTCGGGGTTAACCTCAATCTAATGACAGTTTAGTGGTACTGTTTACGTGGACTTAGCCGATTTTTTCTTGGGTGGATTTTCTCGATAATTTTTCAGACTGCAGTGAGATGTAAACCACATTTCTGCAATGTTCACGAGCAACATCCTTGCAACGCGCTGTTCCTCGACAATTTTCAAGTTAAAATTCGTAAATTTTAGATTTTTTTTTTCGAAAAAACGACTAAGTGCTTGTAAACAGTACCACTGAACTGTCAAAAAGGTTCAGCCGGCTAACACTGAGTTCATTTATGACGTCACGCTGCAGTACCTAATAGACGAGTGCACGGATGGATTTAAGTTCACTCATTCGACAAAAAGTGACACAACAGCGGGGCCCTGTTTACTAAAAATGAACACATGTGTTCATTTTTAGTAAACAGGGCCCCGCTGTTGTGTCACTTTTTGTCGAGTGAGTGAACTTAAATCCATCCGTGCACTCGTCTATCCAACCTGGAACGGTTAGTAACGTTTCCAATCGTTTGCGTTCCATCAGGGATCAAAATGGAAAACGAAACATAAACACGCTCGTTGAACTTCACTCATATCTAGAATCCAGCTTTTCTACACTCAAAGATAAATTAAATCAAAAAAGCTTCAAAAGTATGCAGATTCCCGCTTCACCTTATTGAGTCCGAGCCATGATTACTTCGGCAGTAATCATACATGATTAAAATCGAAATAATCTTCCCAGTATTAAATTTTATTCTTTTTCAATACTGATATAAATATAATCAAAAAAGATTAAAATGAAATCATTTTTTTTTAAAAAGAATCAAAAATGATTAAAATTTATTCAAAAAAGATAATCTACAATCTAATCAACCATGATTAAACTGGGATTAATATCAGACGCTTATTTTTTAGAAAGAGAGGAATAATTTTCAATCATTCGATATGATTAAACTGAGTTTAATGTCAAATTGATTAAATTTCAAGCAAAATGGGAATAGTTTAATTTATCAGTGTAATAAAATTTGTACATGGCTTAACGATGGCCTTAACGACGTCCCGGCCAACCATTCGTGAAACTTCTTCAAAGTTCTTCATACAAAAATAAAGATTTTTGTCGGTAATTCTTGACTCTTAAGTTTCTTTGATTTCGATGTATGTACATATTTAAAAATCTTAATTGATCGATACCGAGATCGATACTTCTCGATGAACATTTCAAATGGTCCTATCTGCTTTGATCGATTCTCTTCATCGACTTTCTCTTTTGATAACCACCGCGTACAAATTTCGCGCTAATTTTAGGTCATAGCAAAGATATTTCATTAACAAGATATCCCACAAATCAATTCCTCGAACAAGGCAATGGATACACCACCCTTATGTGATCGCAGTGCCATCTCGTGAGTGCACATTGAAACTGTTGGGAGTCCCCCGTCAACTTTACAACCAGGGCTCAATAAATGACAGGTGTCAGTATGACATATACCAGCGTGGACGTTGATGATCAGCCGAGGGAAGAGGATGATCGATGTCATCATCATTATATTGCGATAGCAAGATTCTCACTTCGTTATGATTGCATCCATTTTCAATCATTACCACGTTATACCATAGAGGTAACTCTAAGACCACTGGGTCCCGAAGAAAATCATTATTATTTTTGGCTCACTCAGTACCAGAACAACGGTCCCAAGCAGTCCCAAGCTATTTCACTCACCCCTGCATGTTCTGCATGAATCCACACACCCCTGATGTTATCTGTCAAACTTTCATAGCGAATCAAAACAAACATAGTGTAGTAATAGAATTTCAACTAGAATAGGGTACGTTAATCGTTTGCTTGGGACCAATAGGCTACTAAAGTGGTGAGCCAATTTAAAATCGTTAGTTTCGTATTGATTGTTGCTACTACTAGATTGAACTAGCATTTTCACCAAATGTACTAGAATGTTTTGGTTCTATCTCTTTCACTCTACTCAAAACTGAAATGCATAAAAAAATGACAAAATGATACGCACTCTTTGCACACTGTCTAAGAATCATTGTACACAAAATCAACTTTGTTCAAATCAAAACAAAAAAACTAACCCATCTGGTGGATGATGGCACAAGCTTCCAAGAAAATTCTATTACAGTGAACCACATTATTTAAATGGATTTCTTCGCCAGTTAGTCGTCTGTCACTTCGTTTGTGGTTCAACGTTGTATCGCCAAAGACCTATTGGCGCTGTTATCTGTCTCTATAAATTCCAAAGAGTGAAGGGGGTCTGCCTTAACTCCATTTTGTAAACAAACCTTGTAAGGCCATTTCTCGCGAACCGAAACCTTCATTCGCAAACCTAAACCATAATCGGGTAGAGGAGAATTTCCCCTACCTGTCCATTATGTTGGTTTGCCTTTGCGGACTTCAGTTCGCGAGCAAATGGCCTTACAAGGTTTGTTTACAAAATGGAGTTAAGGCCATTTCAATTGTTGGTCTTCATATATGAATTGAATAGAGGTGGAAAAATTTAAAAATCATTTTCTGGTTTGTTTACGTTTTGGACATAAGCCCACTCTAAAGTGTTCCCTAATAAAAAATAACCATAAACGAACGATAACCCAAATCATTGAACTATTCCACAAATGGTTTGGATGATACCCAGAACACGTCGTTAAGCAAATTAACCATACAATTTTTATTAGGGTTACTTTAGAATTTCCTCTATGCTCATGATTGTATGCAATTTTAACAAAATTGTGGATCTCTTGGTCTACCTACAGGAGTTGACGATTTTATCGGTGAATCCGAGAGTCAACTCTCACGGGTTTTCTAAAGCCCTCTAGTAGGGCTTTGGCGTTTTCCTGTTCCGACAGGCCAACCACAAGTTTAATTGGTTCCCTGTCTATTTTGTTCGAAAGTAGATAGTCATACTTGTAAATTAGGCTAAATCTTAAAATTTGGTAACCAAATTACCGAGAACCACCCTAATAAAAATTGTATGGTTAATTTCACGGAACCAAATTTTGTTCATTTAAGTTAAAAATATATATGTTTATTAAATAAAAATATGAATAGTTCAAAGTAAATTAAAAACATGTTTTTAACAAAAATATGTATGTTTAAATTAAATTAAAAAGCATGTTTATTTCAACAATACATAATCTAGGTAATCAATTTTTAGCGTGTCCTTTTTTCCTTCTTGTTTACATTCGGCAAACTTAACCGAAAACGGCCTGCAAGCGGCGAAACCGAAGTAGAGGGTTCGGAAACCCACGCAAGCAAGTGTTCCAAGCTCGAAAAAACCGGTGGAACATCACAATATTAACGTCAATCCGTCGTTTCTGATGCCGATCCCTATATCATCCTCACCCCCCACCCGACGTCGAAAGAAAAACAGATCATCCCCGAACACTAAAAAGAAAAGAAAAGAAAGAGGCCGGTATGAGGACCAGCGTCAGAAACGACAAAATGACGCTAATATCACAAAGTTTCACCGGTTTTACTGAACTGGATCGGATCGGACACCCACCCCGACGGCCCCCCGGATCCAAACATCCACAGACTTTCCATAATCGCAGGAATTTCTATTTATTTGCTATCCATTTTATTTTGATTTATTCAGCATTCAAATGCTTAAATAATTTCAAAATATGTTTGTTTATTTTAAACATGAAAAGCATGTTTAAAATAAACATATTAATTTTTGATCGCATATAGTTTTCAAATAAATCCAGGGGGAACGACACTTCAGGATTATCCCATTTTTACCCAAACCTCTTATACAATTTTCAACGTGCACAAAATTTCAATCCATCCTATCTATTCTTTCTATACCCAACTTATCCCTTCTGCATGCACACAAATTGTCAAGCAAGCCGTGCAGTTTCTCGAAGTTTTCAGGTCGACCGCGAAGCACTTTGCCATACTCACTGTCAGTTTACAACACTCTCCACAACAAACACCACGTATGTCAGCTGGCCATGCCGGTAAAAAATCGGTGCGAAAACTAAAAAAAGATGACGGACCATTCGTCTATAATCGGTCTCGGGGGCAAAAAACATCAAGTGCATCACGGAGGAGACGGCAACGCACATCCATTTCCCGGACTCAAACTGATCGAATTCGACGGATAAGAGCCCGGGTCTCTGTGTGTTGTAGCATGAATGTTACCGAACAGGCGTGAAGCAACTATTGATTTTGTTCGAACTGCTGATTCTAGCCCCGGGAAAAGCCTTACCAATGAAACCCCCTACGACAAGCAGGTGGAAAAGGAATTCAGGTCATTTTTTTCCACTCGGCCCAAGTTTTACTCGTCTCTGGTCAAGGTCTCGTCAAGGGTTCGGATAAGAAAGATCTTATGGTAAAGTAAGACACCCACCGGGTGATGTATTTCTGTGCGAGAATATTGCGGATCAAATTCCCGTCCAAATACAGCTGGGAATATTAACCGGAACCTTGTAATCCATCGCCATCACCCATTCCTCCTACTGTGCAGTTTCGACCTATTCGGTGCGGAACCGTTTTCTGCACTTGAGCTGTGAGCTTTGGTTATTATAGTTGGGTGGTGTCCCGAGCGGTGTCCATTAATTCCGTTTAGCTAAAAATCAATATTTTTGACCTCCCCTTTGGAACAACACGACCCCCCTCTATTTATTAGGCAACGCTCTATAAACACCCCCCCCCCCCCCCATTTCATTTAATTAATGTTTGATTTCGTTTTGTATTTTTTTATTTTTAGGTAATTAATTATATTATTAATATTCAAAACAAAAACAAAAGATCAGCGTACCATCGAGTACCTCCTTTTCAAAAGTTCAAGGATCGCAAACATCTCAATTAAAACAGATCCATTTTGCAAAGCAAGATTTAGTGATGACAGCCTTCGTTGTCGTTGCCAAAAACGTCAAAAAAGACCTGTATTTTCAAACTTTACATCAAGAGACGAAAAAAAAAACAAAATGTTCTCTTTTTTACGTAACGCAAAGCTTTACTACTCCTCCCCTATGTATAATTCGTAACGATATAGGTGACCCCCTCGCCCCCTATAAGCGTTACGTAATTCATGGACGCTTCATTGCAGCAAATTTTTCTTCTTTTTACACCTATCCTCTTCGCGTTCAGACTCGTATCCCTCTGAAATTTTTTAACATCCCTCACATCACATCAATTGCCTGATCTATTCCCATCTATTTTTTCTATCCCTGCTTAATTTTCGTCAACACGTTACACTCAAAAAAATCCCATCAATTATGTTTTTCCCCGAAAATCCCAAGTAATTACTAGACTGAAAAAATACATCCAAATGAGTGTCGTTCCCCCTGAATAAATCAAAAATATTCACGTTTATTTTCAACACGAATATTTTTAAAATAAACGTAACATTATTTTTGTTTTAAACATTATTATCAATGGATTCAAACATAGAATACGTTTGAAATTAACCTAGTTTATGTTTGTGGCCAGAACAAACTGAGTTTACGTTTAAATTTGCCTCAAATATTTTTGTTTCGACGGTAAATTTTTCTGCGTGTTGCTTAACGACGTGTTCTGGGTATCATCCAAACCATTTATGGAATAGTTCAATGATTTGGGTTATCATTCGTTTATGGTTATTTTTTATTAGGGCAGTCATGTCAACATGAATCGACACGCATTTGGCTCGGGACTTTTCGTTCCAACTGTACAACCAAACCTTGGTTTTCTGCCTATTCCGAATGAAAGTATATAGCCATACCTTTAGAATGGTAGGAGAATCATAACGATTGATCATTGCATTGCCGAGAACCAGCCATGTCAACACGCATCGACACGTTGTTTGCAGATATAGGGATTTGTATCCAGCTTTCCATGCTCGGTAATGGCGGCCTGTTTGTATGAATAAATGTATCCTTCACTGTGATTTTTGACACTAACTGGAGGGCGTATGTTGTTCCATTTTCTTCTGTTCCTGGGAGAGGGAAAGGGAAGGGGTTGAAATTCGAACATCCAGATAGTGTCAAAAAGCACAGTGAAGGATACATTTATTCATACAAACAGGCCGCCATTACCGAGCATGGAAAGCTGGATAGAAAAACCCTAATAAAAAATAACCATAAACGAACGATAACCCAAATAATTGAACTTTTCCACTAATGGTTTGGAAGATACCCAGAACACGTCGTTAAGCAAAATAACCATAACAATTTTATTAGGGAATACGGTTCGAACGAAAACGGGTTACGAATAATGATTGTTTCCTGCACAGCCAAGGAATCAAAAATATCTCCAAATGACAAAATGACAAGCGATCAACGAACCGAATAATAACGCTATGTCAGAAGTGGAAAGCAATAATGATATAATCTTCTTCGTTCTTTTTCATGACAAGCAGCCCGTGCTACACAACTCACTCGGGGCGGTTGAAGGAAACGAGCAAATTGTTGGCAAGCTGCTTCACGAAGTAAAACCGAAGATGATACACGTGTGTTAATGGGATTTTTTTTGTTATGTCTTTTCTGGATTCATATCAAGCTATGTCCTCATCCGTGTATATTGCAACAAAGCAGGCAAGCAATATATCATTATCCTTTTACCACTCGGATCGAGCTATGTTACAGAGCGAGTTTGTCATGGTAGTCGTAGCAACCATTTTGTCTGTATCGTTGTTTGCTTTATGTGTTTTGATTCGCTGTGCACAGCAAAAAAAATGTAATATTGATCAACGTAATTCAAGCTGATGTATGAAATAAAGATGTAATAGCAAAAAGCAGATACAATATTATATCAATGGATGTAGATGTACATCGTACAACGTAATATTACAAAACCGGCGGAATGACCTCTGTGCAGCTCAACAACTTTTTTTTTCTGTGTACAATGTGATATTACACACACAACCCATGGATTGACATGGTTGCAGCAGTTTCGATGTAATATTCAATAACTTTTTTTGCTGTGTAGAAATCAAGACCAACAATTGAAATGGCCTTAACTTCATTTTGTAAACAAACCTTGTACCGTGCCAGCACCATATTTGACGCGTCCCTAACAAGGAATCAAAAATATCTCCAAATGACAAAATGACAAGCGATCAACGAACCGAATAATAACGATATGTCAGGATTGGAAAGCAATAATGATATAATTTTCTTCCTTCTTTTTCATGACAAGCAACCCGTGCGACACAGCTCACTCGGGGCGGTAGAAGGAAACGAGCAAACCCTAATAAAAATTGTATGGTTAATTTGCTTAACGACGTGTTCTGGGTATCATCCAAACCATTTATGGAATAGTTCAATGATTTGGGTTATCGTTCGTTTATGGTTATTTTTTATTAGGGAATTGTTGGCAAGCTGCTTCACGAAGTAAAGCCGAAGATGATACACGTGCGTTAATGGGAATTTTTTTGTTATGTCTTTTCTCGATTCAGATCAAGCTATGTCCTTATCCATGTATATTGCAACAAAGCAGGCAAGCAATATACCATTATCCTTCTACCACTCGGATTGAGCTATGTTACAAAGCGAGTTTGTCATGGTAGTCGTAGCAGTAGCAACCGTTTTGTCTGTATCGTTTGTTGCTTTATGTGTTTGGATTCGCTGGTCCCTAATGATGACGCACACGTCTAATTTTTATCGCATCTCGATTTTGACAAGATATTTTTTTAAACTTTGTTACACCATCATCCCTAGAGCACAGGAACTAATATTTGCAGAAGTAACATTTAAAAATTAAGGATTGAAAATAGTCGAACATTATTGAGTGCGTCGATTTGGGAACCGCTTCGAATATGGTGCCTCCACGGTAAGGCCATTTTCTCGTGAACCGAAGTCCGCAAAGGCAAACCAAACATAATGAACAGGTAGGGGAAATTCTCCTCTACCCGATTGTGGGTTTGCGAATGAAGTTTTCGGTTCGCGAGAAAATGGCCTTACAAGGATTGTTTACAAAATGGAGTTAAGTCCATTTCAATTGTTGGTCTAATTACATAAAAATGCGTAGCAAAAAGTTCAAAAATTTGTCCAAAACCTCCAAGAGCATTTAATTGTAAGTTGAGCTGTTCAAATTAGCGGAAGTCTACGGTGTAAGCAGTTTGTTAAGATGGCACGACTGGATTTCTAGAATACCTTCACAGCAAAAAATAATGTAATATCGATCAACGTAATTCAAGCTGATTGTATGAAATAGCAAAAAGCAGATACAATCACCCCTATTCTGTATTTCGTTTCGAACGAAATTCTCATCCAAAAATTATTTTTTTGTATGAGAATTTCGTTCGAAACGAAATACAGAATAGGGGTCAATGGGTGTAATTTTGTTCGCAAAATCGATGTACATCGTACAATGTGATATTACATATTCGATGGATTGACCTAGTTGCAGCAGTTTCGATGTAATATTCAACAACTTTTTTTGCTGTGTGGAAATATTACAAACACAAAAGGACCCTTTCGAATATCGTACAGTTGCAAAAAACAAAGTTTACATGTAAACCTATTCTGCGTAGAATAAGCGGATTATTTGAACGGTTTATTTATTTAATTCACTTTCTACATTAAGATATACATCCTTTTAAAGGTAATCAGTCCGAATGTTATGTTGTACCGATCTCAAGATTGATAAGCATTCATAAGATTTATAAGCAGAACAATCTCTCGTAAAATAGTTCTCATTTGAATCTAATTGGTAATAAAATACAAGAATGTGCATTTCTATTGTTCCTTGCTAGAACGCGGAACAAAATTAAGAAAGAACCTAAACATTACACCCGCGCAAACGAAAAACCCTACTGTTTCTCTTGGAAAAAGAAAACTGCAAAATTATCCAGAACCGGGGTTTCAATTCGAATACATTAATCTAGCGCTAGGGAGAGATCGTCACCGCTTAATCAACTTCCTCCATATACGAAGCATCTTCGGAATCCTCAACCAGTGGTGGGGCATCCCCACCGGCGGCCGGTGCCGACTCTTCCGTGTTCATAGTATCATCTTCGTCGATACCGAGACCCAGTTTGACCATGCGGTAAATGCGGGATGCGTGTACTCCGGGTTCATCCAGCGAGAAGCCGGACGAGAGCAGGGCAGTCTCGAACAGCAGGATTACGAGATCCTTGACGGCCTTGTCGTTCTTGTCGGCTTCGGCACGCTGTCGGAGGGTTTCGATGATCGAATGATCCGGATTGATTTCCAGGTGCTTCTTGCCGGCCATGTAGCCCATGGCGGAGGAATCACGCAGAGCCTGGGCCTTCATGATACGTTCCATGTTGGCGGACCAACCGTACTGGGAGGTGACGATACAGCACGGGGATTCGACCAGACGGTTCGATACGACCACCTTCTCGACCTTGTTGTCCAAAACAGACTTCATGACCTTGCACAGGTTCTCGAACTTGGCCTTGTCTTCTTCGCGCTTCTTCTTCTCTTCCTCGTCCTCTGGCAGTTCCAGGCCCTCTTTGGTGACGGAGACCAGCTGTTTGCCTTGGTATTCCTTCAGCTGCTGGATGACGTACTCGTCGATGGCTTCGGTCATGTAGACGACCTCGAATCCGCGCTTCTTGACACGCTCCACGAAGGCAGAGTTCTTGACCTGTTCGATGCTTTCGCCGGTGATGAAGTAGATGTGCTTCTGGTTCTCCTTCATACGGCTGACGTACTCGGCGATGGAGCAGTACTCGTCACCAGAGGCGGACGTGTTGAAGCGGAGCAGATCGGCGAGCTTCAGACGGTTGGAGGTGTCTTCGTGGATGCCGAGCTTCAAGTTCTTGCTGAACTGGTCGTAGAACTTCTTGTAGGTTTCCTTGTCCTCGGCCAATTCCTCGAACAGTTCCAAACATTTCTTGACCAAGTTCTTGCGGATGACCTTGAGGATCTTGTTCTGCTGCAACATTTCACGGGAGATGTTCAGTGGCAGATCTTCCGAATCGACGACGCCCTTGATAAAATTCAGGTAGTCCGGAATGATTTCCTCGCAGTTGTCCATGATGAAGACACGACGGACGTACAGCTTGATGTTGTTCTTCTTCTTCTTGTTCTCGAACAGATCGAACGGCATACGACGTGGGACGAACAGCAGTGCACGGAAGTCCAGCTGACCTTCAACGGAGAAGTGCTTGACGGCCAAATGATCTTCCCAGTCGTTGGAGAGGGATTTGTAGAATTCACCATACTCTTCCTGAGAGATGTCGTCGGCGTTGCGAGTCCAGATGGGCTTGGTCTTGTTGAGTTCTTCGTCCTCGGTGTACTTGACCTTGACGGTCTTCTTCTTTTTGTCCTTCTTTTCCTCGTCGTCTTCAACGTCTTCGATCTTGGGCTCGTCTTCCTTCTTCTCCTCTTCCTCCTTCTTTTCCTCTTCGGCTTCGTCATCGCTGACTTCCTTCTCGCGCTCCTTCTCGACGAGCAGCTTGATAGGGTAACCAATGAACTGTGAGTGCTTGTTCACGATGGCCTTGATCTTGCTTTCCTCCAGGTATTCCAGCTGATCTTCCTTGATGTACAGGACGATCTTGGTACCACGTCCAAGAGGCTCTCCAGTGTCCAGAGAAACAGTGAACGAGCCTCCGGCCGACGATTCCCACAAGTACTGCTCATCGTCGTTGCTCTTGGAAGTGACAACGACCTTATCGGCGACCAGATAAGCCGAGTAGAAACCCACACCGAACTGACCAATCATGCTGATGTCAGCTCCAGCCTGCAGGGCTTCCATGAACGCCTTGGTACCGGACTTGGCGATCGTACCCAGGTTGTTGACGAGATCGGCCTTGGTCATACCGATACCGGTATCGATGATGGTCAGGGTGCCGGCTTCCTTGTTCGGGATCAACTTGATGTACAGCTCCTTGCCACTGTCCAGTTTGGAGGGATCGGTCAGTGACTCATAGCGGATCTTGTCCAGGGCATCCGAAGAGTTGGAGATCAACTCACGCAGGAAGATTTCCTTGTTCGAGTAGAACGTGTTGATGATCAGCGACATCAGCTGAGCGATCTCAGCCTGAAACGCGAAGGTTTCGACTTCGGCGGCGGCTTCCGGCATCTGGAATGTGGGGAAAGAGAAAGGGATCGATGAGTTTCAATGGAAATTACCAGATATTATCGAATGTTCTAGGGTACTACCTGAGCGAAGTCCAGCATCACACATCAAATTGAAATCAAGTTTTGATATCAACATCAAACTGAAATCATAATTTGATATCAGTTTACGCAACTGACAAATTTGATACCTACCAAATTTTGTTTTCATTTTGCTGTACATTTGCATAAATAGTTTTCAATATGATTTCACAGGAAGATTTTTTTGTTCTCAATTTTGATATTTTAACCGTTAAAACGACCAAAACGACAGCAACCTGAGTAATCATTATCAGCAAAATCACAACATCAAATTAAGATTTCAATTCGATCTCAGACTTTGCTCGGATATTGAGTCAGAGTAAGGAAATTTCGAGATGTGAATTCTGGAAAATTTGATACATGCTGATGTTATGAGCATAACACAATGTCATGTCATGTACACGGTGTTTTGTGAAAACCCATTAATGGGTAAAAAAACACCCATTTTCAAACCATGTATGCAGCTGTCAAAAAATGGGGGAATTTTGAAATCATAAAATGGGTGAAAAAATACCCATTTAAAGAATCAGTTCACGGTTGAATAATGGGTATATTTTTTACCCATTAATGGGTGAAAAAACACTTCGAAATTTTATCGTCTCATTTCCGTCACCGGCTCATTGGGAATGCAAACCTCGATGCAAACAGTTACTGTCCGCAGCAACGATCTCCGGAAAATGTTAGAATCCAAAACGTTGGAGAGGCTTACGGATAAGTCAATACGATGGATAATTTGTATTTTAATGTTTCGTGAAAAATTTGAGCGGAACACCTGCATTTATTTTCAATGTTTTAAAAACATTTTTACATCAACGAGCGCTTGCATCCTCCATTTGTAAAAATGGGTATTTTTTTCACCCATTTTACGGTAAACACAATAAAAGAAAATGGGTGAAAAAACACCCATTTATTGACAGACCACCCATTTACCCATTTATGAGTAAACCATAGTTTACCCATTAAATGAGGAGGGGCACTTTTAGCGGAAATGGGTATTTTTATACCCATTAATGGGTTTTCGCGAAACACCGTGTAGTGTTATACTGACTCCAGGTTTACTCGATATGGTAATTTAGGAATTCCGCCCTTTTCATGTGTAGTCTAGAAATTATTAACGCTAATCATACAATCATCTTATTTTGTACAGGCATTTTAGAAATATAAATGAATCATCATCAGATAGGGACCGTGTTCCAGAATTATCTACTTCTTGCACTTTTCATCCCCCTGATAAGTTCCAACTGACACCAACCTCGCCCATGTTTCTCTAAGAATGATTTACTTCAATTAAAAAGCAAAAAACGCTCTACTTACTTTGAATGTCTTATGTAATTCTTTCTCTGTCAAACGAAAGCAATTCACTGCTTAATAGTTTTAATTCAATAAATTCACTTTTCACCACTTTTAGTCAAACGCACTGGTTAACTTGCTTGAGAAGAAATCGCTGCTTACTCTCTGCTGTCTTGTTTGCAACTGTTACCAGACCGAGAGCGGCGAGCGCACTTTTATCAAACAAACCCTAATCTCTCGTATTCGCCAGAAATTTCTAGCAGAAACAACGGAAACAGCTCTGAGCTCTCATTCGTCTGGGGTCGTGCTATTTCGTTTGCTCTGCCGCACGGGCCGATGAAAGCGAGAGATATACAACGGAAACCAAAGGGTGGAATTTTCGCGAGCCTTCTAGAAGGTTCGCCAATGTTCCAGAGCGTGAACCGTTTCGCCGGGTTGCTTACAGGCGCAGACCGGCACGTTCGGGTTTTCATGCTATTTGTTTCGATTCTCCTTCGCGAAGGGGAAAACGGATTCCGACCGGGTGGTCGAATTGATGTTTTTGGGTCGTGATGCGGGATAAAAATGAGCACTGTGAGAAATTAATGGAATTTATAATTATTATTATTTTTATTTAAAGGCCCGGGGTCTCATTTCGCAAATCGAAACGACAAATTTTTTTCACAAAAGCGTGTGTTACGACATGCGCAATAATAACTTACATAGAGGTCGAAGCGAAGTGAAAATATTATGCAAAATTCTAGTTTTTTTTTCTGTTGATGAGCTAGCCCAGAAGTGGCTAATATCCCATTCACATTTCAGCCTATTTATTACGTGATATACAAACCAAACTTAATACTTACTTTAACGACAATTTTCTTTTTTGTCGGTAAGATTATACCCCGTACCAGACTATGGCTTATATCATGTAATATATAGGCTATCTTGCAATGAGCATTCATACAAAGGATTTCCAGTGAAAACTAGATGTATGAGTGCTCATTGCAAGATTCAAGTACCAGCTAAATGAATTGCTAAACTGGTTCAAGCAAAACCACATTTCACCCACCATCCAGTAATTTGAAATATTTTGCTGAATTCTTAATAAATTGTATTCGATCTTTTTTTTGTCTTTATAGAGATTTTTAGCCATGGCTTAAAATCTCTACACTAGTAAAAATTCAATGATTATTTTTATGTGTCCCACACATGAATTTTTGCAATGTGATAAACAAATGATATAATGTTTTTTTTTTTTTTTTTTCCTTTGGTTTTTTTTTCCGTCGATCTTGTTTTCCGTGCTGAGCACCAATGCTACCGACGTGCCAGGAAGGCAGCTCCCACACCTGGACCCTACCTATCGACCCATCAACTCATGAACCGGGGACCAACGGCTTTACTTCCCATCCGAAGGAAGGCGTGACCAGAGATGTTATGCCTCAGAACATCCCGGCGGCGCCGACTGGGATTGAACCCAGGCCTGCTGGGGTGAGAGGTAAATGATATAATGTGTCGGACACATAGTTTTTATTATAGATACTATAGATTCCATAGATACGCGGAGGCACAAAAAGTTGTTTTGGCAGCCATGAAAAATAAATGATCTGACTGGCATCCGTAAAAAAAAGTTCATGCCATCATAGAACTCTTCGTTGCGCAGTTTTGTTTTGCTTCGTGCGCAAAAGTTCAAAATTAAGTGCAAAGCAAATCTTTGAAACAATGAATCGAGGAATGGTTTGCTTTATCTTTCCTTCTTCCGTTGTCCGCGGAATAAATCGGAATGTGGAGTGTGGAAAGCGTTTTGTGCTCATAATATTACAATACTTCTCCCTCAAACAATACCATGATGACGTCATGCTCGTTTGGCTACACTAACTGACAGTTCGTTTGGCTACATTATACTTTGCCTCCGCTTATCTATGGAATATAGTATCTATAGTGAAAATAGACACTTTTCAAATAGACCAATCTACATTCATAAAATAAATCACATAACCAGTGGAAAATATCCATGTGAATTTCACATAACTTTCATGTGATCCCATAATTGGAAATTGCACCACTAAATCACATGAACGTTATGTGTCCAATGAAATCTATATGATTTCTCATATAGAATTTCTAATGCTATGTGATATTCAGGTAAAAATCATTGTTTTAGTTTTTGGAAAAATACTATGTGCGTTCCTAATAGAAACTAAGTGAAAACTTTTTTCAGTGTACACAGAAAAACAAAACTACCCACCGCTTGGGTTTTTTAAACTCAAATTTGAGTTATTTGGCCTCTGCCCGTTTCATTTCCTCTCGCTATTGTTGTCAAAAATAGAACGAAAGATTCGACTCAACCGTCTAGTTCCGTACGAGAAGCCAAAATTGAGTAATATGCGATATACCCAAATTTGAGTTAATTGAACTTAATTTTGGGTAGAAAAAATTGAAAATAACTTAGCGATGGGTAATTTTTTTTGCCGTCCTTAAATGCAAACTACTTTGAGCCGGTTTACCCAAATTTGGCTTATCGTACGGAACATGGGAGATGAGTGAAAAGAACTTAATTTTGGGTTGTTTTGAATTTCTGTGTACATTATTCGATTCTCTTCAGCGACTCTCTTTTTCGATAATAGCTCGGCCACCGACAAACCGATATGACACTTAATTCTGACTTATGCCCGAAAATCGTAAACGGCCGATTTAGATGTGCAGTCATCCGAACTGTCAAAACTAAAGGATTTTTTGATCTAGATAAAAATAATTTGTCCATAATAGATCAGACACGAACCAATTCATAACTTTTGCATGCGGGTTCATGGTTTAGCTAAATATTTTCCGCGAACACGAAGCCAGATGTCAGTAGCGTGCTTTGGTCAAAAATGTTATTGTTTTTGCTATGGTCATTCATGTCAGTTTGTCGGTGGCTCGGCTCCAAAACATGTTCAGCTTAAGGTGTTTCCTTGTAGGGTCCATTTTTCCATCACACCTCGCAAATTCAAGAGCACACAACTCAAGATCTACGAGGTTTATACATCTGCAAATTTCAGTCATTGCTTGCTTCTCCGCAGCAAACAACAAGTAGTAGTTTCAGCTACGTGCATTCACAGAAAACTTAATATTTTTACATGCGAAATTGCGAAATGTAACACGAACAAGGACGCTACAGGGAATCACCTTAACAGTGGCAAATATCAAAAAATCAAAACTCACCAAACAACTCGCCAAAGAACAAGATCACGCTTGATTTTCGTAGGCAAAAACCAACAAGTATACAACTACGGTTGATATTGCAAGCTGTGAAATCGCCAGGCCAGTTACAAGGCCTATACCAACAACAGCGTTTGACAGTAGGCAGCATGTCCCGGGCTCAAATCGTTTATTTTGCTGTGCTGGGCCCGCTGTCACCGTATAACATGTTGCCTACGCGCCTGCCACTGGGCTGGATATCGCAGCTCGGAATATCAAATATCACAAAACTCACCAGCTGCAAATCTCAAGAAACTGTGGTGAGATCGAGGGTGAGATTGAGTTTCATGATTTTTGATTTATAGTACGTTCAGACTACAGAGTTATAACATAGAGGTAACTCTAAGACCAGAAGGTCCCGAAGAAACGAGCTCAACTTTTTGGCTTAGCTCTGGTACTATATCTTCGGTCCCAAGCTAATCGATTCACCCCTCGAAACATAGGAATATCCAATAACCCCTCATTTTATCTGTCAAACTTTCATAGCGAATCAAAACAAACATTGTATAGTACTAGAATTTTGACAAGAATGGGATACGTTAATCGATTTGCTTGGGACCAATAGGCTAGTCAAGTAGTGAGCCAATTTAAAATCGTTAGTTTCGTATTGATTGTTGGTTATAACATGTTATAGCGCTATCTTGATGGTGGTTTCTGTGTTGTAATTAGTTGACAACCGTTATAACATGTTATAACTCTCCAGTCTGGATAGCGTTTTAACACTCGAACGCAACCGAATCTTGCATAACGGCTGGCAGTAGTCACTTCGTGTCTGCCATCAGTGAAGAGAAAAACGAGATAGCATGATTATACCATAGAGGTAACTCTAAGACTAGAAGGTCCCGAAATAACGTGCTCAACTTTTTGGCTCAGCTCTGGTACTCTCTTCGGTCCCAAGCTATCGATTCACCCCTCGAAACATAGGAAAAACCAATAACCCCTCATTTTATCTGTCAAACTTTCATAGCGAATCAAAACAAACATTGCGTAGTACTAGAATTTTGACTAGAATGAGGTACGTTAATCGTTTGCTTGGGACCAATAGGCTAGTCAAGTAGTGAGCCAATTTAAAATCGTTAGTTTCGTATTGATTGTTGATTATACCTTCTCTTTCTAAGAAAACGAGGTGAAAAAATATTTTCATCGGGAAAAAAACTTCATAGCGAAAAATTTTCCCGATGAAATCAAATCACTGACACAATCATACTTTAGCAATCTCTATTGAAATTATCCAGGAAGCGACTATCATGCAGGGAAATGCTTGCGCGCACGATGAGTAGATAGATATACAGGTCAGACTCGATTATCCGGAGCATCGATTTTTGTTTTCACTCCGGATCTAGGGATGAGACAGCTTTTGATAATGAGTAATATTGGAGTAAATTTTGAGTAACTCTGAGTAACTCGAGTTGCTCAATATTCAATGCACGGTGACAATCATAGCAACCTGTTAGTTTTGACTGCATGCAGGAAGGAAGGCATTCCACGATTGTCAAGCAAAGACGTTTGACGAGGAAAATATACGTTCATCATTTAACAACATTACATACCGGATTGCCATCCACAAAATCCGTGTTGCAGCCTGCAAAATCTGTGTATGCTTATCATTGTTTTACGATGATAATAATGGGATTTTCAAGTGAATATGGAGTTGACATAATTTAACGTATTGATGATGCACATTTTGGCAGAGTTTTCAAAGACTACGGCTTTATGATTCCAGGACTGTATTGCTCACGAATGAAAACTGAAGTTTTTGATGGTAGTTTTTCTCTTCGTTTGCATCGCGTTTCACTTGCGACTTTGGAGAGAAATAATCATTGAGGAGTTACGGTTTTCACAAAGTTTAAACCGAGATTATTGGAAAGATCATTGACTAGTCAAATATAAAAATTTACTGCTCTATCAGAACAATTCAAACTAGAATTCGCAACTCGTGTTAACTTATTTATATAAGATGCTGAAATTAAATCATACATTTGAAGCGGTTAAGATTCTTAATCTTCACAGATTTTGTTTGATTGGTCAAATCTTGAACAGGCTTAAAACTAAAAATAGGTCTAATCAACACTTTCCAATGCATGATCATTATAAGATTCAATGCCAAAACTGCTAATAGAATGGTTATTTAACCATCGAAAGAACACACCCTTGGCAATTCGTAATAAAGCACGCCAAATAACGGGTTCATTTCTCGGGATCATATCGGAAATATCTTTTCCTGATTTGTCAACTTTATTGCCCACGATAGTAGAGACCACGCATATAAGAGTAATTCATACTGAAAAGAAGAACACACGGATTAATGAGTATTTGATGCAAGAATACAAAAAAATAAAATACGGATATGATTACCCTGACACTCTGAGAGATAATGTATGTTAATACGGATTTAATTTTTAATTTCTTGACGAATGTGAGACTACTTTGATTACTTTTGAGTAAATATGAGTTACTCAAATTTGCTAACTGTGAAAATATTAACTCTGAGTACAGCCATCTTGCCCCTAGCTCCGGATAATCAAATCCTCCGGATAATCGAATCACAAAAAAAAATCAAATCTGCCCCAATATTGTTAAAATAATCGTATTGTATATTATAATACTAAATTATTTCAAATGTCTGCATAAAAACTAGAAGAAAAAAAAAGCAAAAAAATACTCCGGATAATCGGGTCTAAAATTCCGGATAATCGAACCCCGGATAATCGAGTCTAAAATTCCGGATAATCGAGTCCGACCTGTATGATTTTGAAGATTTTGGAGTTGGAGAGTGATGCGAGTAGATGGAATAAGAGCAACCGTACCAGTTGTTGCCATTTGTGGCACTATTTTACTTCCGCACAACGTTTCCATTTTGGCTTAATCACTCCTCTCCACACCGGTCGTTGCTATCAGAGTCATAATTTTAGTAACCGTTTTCCACACCGGCAAAACAAACTTTGGCGTTTATTCAAAATAGCAACCGTTTGATGCGTTGCTACCGGGTTGCTAAATTTATGAACTCACTACTTCCCAAGGTGCGGATTGCTATTTCCTCAACCTGAATAGCAACCCCCGGTACGCAAGTAGCGTTATGGTAGAGGTTGATAAATGTGCCTTATTTACTCATTGGTAAGATGCAAGAGATGAAAAAAGATATTTCGTAGATTGGTTCGCTAGCGTGAGATTTTCGGCCATCGAATTACCAGCATCAACAGATCCATCATAATCACTCGGTTTAAGCTGTTTCAAAACACTCTTAGCTTGACTAGAGTTATAAAAATTTACTGAAAAACGTAACCAGGGACAGAAGATTGTTAAGGTAAGAGAGATCCCTACCTGGTGAGATGACAAAAAAAGAATTGGTTGTATCCGATTGTCCGTGGATAAAAAGTATATTCATTAAATATGAGTCAGGTACAATAGTAGCCTAAAGCCCTCTAAGTAAGTACTAGAGGGCTATAAAGCCCTTTATAGTAGTCAAACTTTGATTGTGAAGTCAAAGAAGCAGAAAACCTCGAAAATCGACTCCGGCGTGTCCAAAACTGTTTCGAAGCTGACGATGATGTACTCTCACCAATCAAGCTACGTATCTCGAGCCTCGAAGAAACAATCCAACAGCTCAGCCCCGGCCAGCAACCAACATGTCGTCATCGTATTCCTCCAAGCTGGGACAGTTGCCGCCTTATCTGCGTGGAAAACGACCGGCAACGGCGGTAAGTAAGCTGAAAACTATCGAGTCCGCTACGGGAAGGACATTAGATAACGGCAACGAAGATATCTATGTGGCAAAGAAGATGCTTCAGTTCGAAAGATTGCATTTCCAAAAATTTCGCAACATTTTGGGTGAACAGTACGGATGCTACGCCAATTCGAAAGCATTGCTGGGTGGGACCGATAAGATTCATCCACAGTGAAAACGACAACTTTGGATCAGGAAATCACCAAGATATTGACCGAAACGGATCAGATCGAGTCGGGAATATAGGTTGAACGCCCACCCTGCGAAGGACAAGGTTCAGGGGATGCCTCTGTTCAGCAAACGGATTTCCTAGAGCTGAGCGAGGTGAACGGAATAATGAAGCGATTGGAGGAAAAGTGCGATCGATCGAAACGGACTGCAAACAGAAAAAAGGACGGATCGCGGAGCTGGAAATGGTAGTAGCCACCCAGGTGGGTATAATCAAGGAAAGGGAGGATGATATCGAAAAGGTAATGGGGCTTATTACGGATGTCACTTCACGGTGAAAACTTGTCACTTGTCGTCACGGTGAAGTGATTCCCATTAAAGCAATGTGTACGGGTGTCACTACACGGTGATTAGGAAGTGATACTCAGAATTAAAGAGCCGTGATTGCCGTACAAAGCAGTACGGCAATCACGGCTCTTTAATTCTCAGTATCACTTCCTTATCACCGTGTAGTGACACCCGTAATAAGGCCCAATAAGTTAGTGCATGATGATCCTTTCGTTTGAGGTATTATACTGTTTTGATTTATTTGACGTGTAGTGAGGGAGCCAGTGGTGTAGTGGGCCGGGATCAACAACTTTACTTTTTTTTTCGAAAGAAGCCGAGAACAGAGATTTTTTTCCCTCTGAAAAATCCCAACGACCTCGACACACTGGCGCGAGAAAGCCAGTCACGCTTACCACCACAACATCGGCACCGTCAACTACTGATATAAGGTCTACCATGAAACAATACAATACATTTACAAAACGGTTAATGTCAACCTAGTTGCCAACAATCTATTGTAACTCGTAATGCAGTGTATTGTTATTTTAAAGTAATTTTATTATTATTATTATTTTCCGGAAGCTCACCACGCGGAAGTGGATGTCTTGCACGAGAAGATGAAGAAGCTGTGGATCAAAAATAATGTGCTTGTGAGCGAAAATTAAACCGGATAACGATGAAGAGCAACATATGAATAGAACTATGATAAACAAATTTGGTATGTACCTACTCGGCAAACGAGGGACGCAGATCCTGTTTATTTATACCGAGATGTGTAATTAAACTCAATATATTTATTAAAACATCTCTAGCTTCAACAGGTAAGCTTTCAACTTCTAAACTGATTGCGCAGTTTAATTTTATTCTTCCTAGCAAAACATAAAATTCTCTAACGGTAATATCAAACTCCTCAGTAAAAACGAAAATTAATGCAGCTGGTTCCAGCATTAGTCAAGTTTCAATTCTTCTCGGACAACACATTTCGAACCGCTTTAACCTTACCTCTAGCAGCCAAGATCTTGCTCACGTAGGCATTTTCCTTAGCCCGTTGCATCCGGTTCCGTTCCGAACTGCGGAAATAGTTTCTTAGCATTTCCCGCGCCGGCATCACAATCCTTCTCATGTTCATGTGAGCCGCCCGACCAGCAGCGCTGGTCATGGTGCATGGTTTCTTCGACGGAACACCACTAATCAAGTAACGAATGTTGATCTCATCTATAACATCGAATTCTTCCTCCTCCAGCTGCTTCATGCGTCGCAACGCCTGTTTCTGTTGCCTTCGCGCTTGCTTATATATCAAGTACTCCTCCATTGCTTCCTCATCGTCGGTGAAAAAACAATCAGGATCTATGCTCACATCAGACGAGGTCGATTCCTGAAAGATAATGTCTTCAAAAGCTGGCCATTAAGGAATTAGGGGGTAGCGAAACAACGGTAGACTTCTTACGTCTAAACTGTCCGTCTCCATCCCCTGGGTAGCATCAAGGAACTCCTCCACCTCCACCTCCTCATCCATGCAAGATTCCAACGACTCCCATTCTTCGAATTCGTCTTCCTCTTCGTCTAGGTCCGGGTCTTCCAGGATACAGTCCGGATCAAAATGAATAACTTCGACGTCCGAATCCATCGAGTCGCCGTCGCTGATCGTATCGGAAAACAAGAGCTGCTTTTGAGCTTGAGACGGTGTTATCACCATCGATTGGTAGCTTTCCCGGGGTCGTTTGATTGATTTTGGGGTCATGATCTGAGAATGTTCAAGGCAGGATAATTATTGAACAAATTGTCAAGAAAAAAAAACTACTGAATAACAATACCTGCGGGGGGAAATGTCGATTTCAACTTTTTGCAGACATTAAACTAATTAAAACTTTGGGAATTATTCAACATCATGTACCTACTAATTAAAATAATAAGAAATCACAATCACACTGTATGCTTTTTTATACAAAAATAAACAATTTAAATTCAAAGAAGAAGGACAAAACCGCGCGCATTTCAAATTTGGCTCACGATTCAAATTCGACCAGTAGATTCGAACCCACCAGGAAAGATACGACGAAACCCGCATGGTTTCCCCCACCAGCGGAAAACGAGTCCACTCGCGAAGCGAACCGGTTTCACCCGAAAAAAGCCGAACACTGTCCATCACCCATCGGCCGTGTCTCACTCGCAAAGAACGAACGGTCTTGCCTCACTCTGTTCTAACCGGTTGACTGTTTCAGACACGTGCTCGGAGTAGTGAAGTGAAGTGCGTTCGAGAAAAATTCCTAAATTTGCCATCCGGAAGGAAAGCGAAAGGGTATTCTTCTAGAAAGTGTTCCCCCGTTTGATTGGTACAACAACGAAGGAGTGGTGGTTTTGTGTGTTTCGTTTCTAGAACCGTCGGGAACGAATTAAAGCAGCCAAGGTAAGTGCCGTGGAAAAAAAATCCTGGAACAAAGCCGCTGCGCAAAATGCGGTAACCACGTTTTCGTTTGTGTGGTGGAAAAGATGGCTTTCTTCAAGCTGTTTTATGTGGGCTGAATTTACACTCCAAAAAGGATGTTTTTCTGATGGCGATACGGGTTATCGATTGATCTGCGGAATTGGGTAGATTTTACAGTGCATTCTTAATTTGAATGTCGCCTGATGGCCTTCGAATGCAATTTTTTAAATTGTAATTTTTAATCAATTGTAATTTATTGTCAACCGTAACCCTGATGGATGAGTTGCAGTTCAGCTAACAGTAACTATATTCATAGTCTGGCGGAGGCAATGACGGGAGTCAATTTTAAAATATGACGAGTTGGTGTCAGGCAAATTATTGGATGATATTGATGTTGCTTATCACAGCCGTTGGGTAACCGCATCCTGTAAAGTTAATCCATGAGTTGAATCAGAAACGTCTCGTAAAAAATGTTTTATCGAGCATTACTGTTTCTTTATCGGCCAATGTGGTGGACGTATTGTAATCGTGTCGATAATTAAACCGAACAAAAATGAAATCATCTTAGGTGATAATTTATCAATGCGGTCCTGAATTGAATATGTGTTAAACGAAAACGTCCTGCATATTCACGGGGTGTCCGATTTTTATTGCAAAAATTAAATTAGCTAGTGCAGGGTTTTGTATCCGCCAGACTACATATTTATAGTGTCTAAAGTTCAGCTCACCGTTGTATACTGAGGTGAAGGAAAGTAAGGATTCCATAAGAACCACTTTCGACAAAAGAATTAATATGAAAATCATAAGTTTGGCTTATTAAACAATTCATAAGTTAGCTTAAGAACCACTAGTAGTACGTCATGTACTACTCCGACAAGCATTCATAACTCGTGCTTATCGAATGCATAACTTATGTCTGTCTACACCGTAACCGCAAAATACCCAATAATGACTAAATAAGACTCAAAATTGACTACAAAGTAACCATTTACGAAAGCATCTGGGACTACCCATTGAAGGAGTAAAAAATTTCCCCATTTATGAGTAATTGTAACTAATAAATCAATACTCAATTTGGAATTGTAATTACTCATAAATGGGTAGTCCTAGTTTCCCTCGAAAATGCTTACTTTGTAGCCATTATTGGGTATTGTAGGGTTACCGTGTATATAAGTCGCGCATCACCTTTCAAATAGACCATACACGGAACGAAAAAAGTACCTAATTTTGAGTTCTTTTCACCCAGGCAATTCCCTGTGAGCCAACTCAACTTCTAGAATTCAAGTTCTAGATGGTTCTAGCGCCTACTCAATGTTGATTTGTTGTCATTCACTCGCATGTTAACGGGATTACTTAAGTTCGACAGTGAGCATGCATAAGGGCGTAAATGCGAAGGGAACTGTCGAGTTGGATGAATAGAACTCAATTTTGGGTTGTTCGCTTTTTCGTGGAGGCGAACCAGCCCAAGGCTGAAAGCCTCCCTAATGAAGATAAATTAATTAATTAATTGTGCGCTTTTTTCGTTTTTGACGGCAAGAGAGCACTAATGGATAGTTTTGGTCGCTATTGAAAATTTAGTCGATTGCTGAATTTATGTATGGACCCAAATTAGGGGCTGTTCATAAACTACGTAGACAGTTTAGGGGGGGGGGGGGGTTGAGAATTATCCACGGCCCATACAAATTTTAAATTTTTTGTATGGCCATTTGTCTACGCAGGGGGAGGGGGGAGTCAAGAATCACAAAAAACTGTCTACGTAGTTTATGAACAGACCCTTAGGGGCGTTTAGGCCAACATTACATCCATTTTCCCCTATGTAGAATAGCCCGAAATTTGAATGCATTAAAGTTCTTAACGAAAGTGAGAGTCGATGAAGAGCATCGAACCATGTAGATTGGTCTATTTGAAAACTGACGCGAATTGTTCAGGTTCATAAGTCATGTCATATCGAACTCTGTTGCCTGTTTTTGCCTCAGTGTAAATGTAATTTATATAATTTAGAAATTATAGAAATTCAGTTGACATAATTTGATGCAATCTTGAATCAATATCTGACCTCACCAGCCTCAACGATAATATCTGGTAATTTCCATTGAAACTCATCGATCCCTTTCTCTTTCCCCACATTCCAGATGCCGGAAGCCGCCGCCGAAGTCGAAACCTTCGCGTTTCAGGCTGAGATCGCTCAGCTGATGTCGCTGATCATCAACACGTTCTACTCGAACAAGGAAATCTTCCTGCGTGAGTTGATCTCCAACTCTTCGGATGCCCTGGACAAGATCCGCTACGAGTCACTGACCGATCCCTCCAAACTGGACAGTGGCAAGGAGCTGTACATCAAGTTGATCCCGAACAAGGAAGCCGGCACCCTGACCATCATCGATACCGGTATCGGTATGACCAAGGCCGATCTCGTCAACAACCTGGGTACGATCGCCAAGTCCGGTACCAAGGCGTTCATGGAAGCCCTGCAGGCCGGAGCTGACATCAGCATGATTGGTCAGTTCGGTGTGGGTTTCTACTCGGCTTATCTGGTCGCCGATAGGGTCGTTGTCACTTCCAAGAGCAACGACGATGAACAGTACTTGTGGGAATCGTCGGCCGGAGGCTCGTTCACTGTTTGCCTGGACACTGGAGAGCCCCTCGGACGTGGTACCAAGATCGTTCTGCACATCAAGGAAGATCAGCTGGAATACCTGGAGGAAAGCAAAATCAAGGCTATCGTGAACAAGCACTCACAGTTCATTGGCTACCCTATCAAACTGCTCGTCGAGAAGGAGCGCGAGAAGGAAGTCAGCGATGATGAAGCCGAAGAGGAAAAGAAGGAGGAAGAGGAGAAGAAGGAAGACGAGCCCAAGATCGAAGACGTTGAAGATGACGAGGAAAAGAAGGACAAAAAGAAGAAGACCGTCAAGGTCAAGTACACCGAGGACGAAGAACTCAACAAGACCAAGCCCATCTGGACTCGCAACGCCGACGACATCTCCCAGGAAGAGTATGGTGAATTCTACAAATCCCTCTCCAACGACTGGGAAGATCATTTGGCCGTCAAGCACTTCTCCGTTGAAGGTCAGCTGGACTTCCGTGCACTGCTGTTCGTCCCACGTCGTATGCCGTTCGATCTTTTCGAGAACAAGAAGAAGAAGAACAACATCAAGCTGTACGTCCGTCGTGTCTTCATCATGGACAACTGCGAGGAAATCATTCCGGACTACCTGAACTTTATCAAGGGCGTCGTCGATTCGGAAGATCTGCCTCTGAACATCTCCCGTGAAATGTTGCAGCAGAACAAGATCCTCAAGGTCATCCGGAAGAACTTGGTCAAGAAATGCCTGGAACTGTTCGAGGAATTGGCCGAGGACAAGGAAACCTACAAGAAGTTCTACGACCAGTTCAGCAAGAACCTGAAGCTCGGCATCCACGAAGACACCTCCAATCGCCAGAAGCTCGCCGATCTGCTCCGCTTCAACACGTCCGCCTCTGGTGATGAGTACTGCTCCATCGCCGAGTACGTCAGCCGTATGAAGGAGAACCAGAAGCACATCTACTTCATCACCGGCGAAAGCATCGAACAGGTCAAGAACTCTGCCTTCGTCGAGCGTGTCAAGAAGCGCGGATTCGAGGTCGTCTACATGACCGAAGCCATCGACGAGTACGTCATCCAGCAGCTGAAGGAATACCAAGGCAAACAGCTGGTCTCCGTCACCAAGGAGGGCCTGGAACTGCCAGAGGACGAGGAAGAGAAGAAGAAGCGCGAAGAAGACAAGGCCAAGTTCGAGAACCTGTGCAAGGTCATGAAGTCCGTTCTGGACAACAAGGTCGAGAAGGTGGTCGTATCGAACCGTCTGGTCGATTCCCCGTGCTGTATCGTCACTTCCCAGTACGGTTGGTCCGCCAACATGGAACGTATCATGAAGGCCCAAGCTCTGCGTGATTCTTCCGCCATGGGTTACATGGCCGGCAAGAAGCACCTGGAAATCAATCCGGACCACTCGATCATCGAAACCCTCCGACAGCGTGCCGAAGCCGACAAGAACGACAAGGCCGTCAAGGATCTCGTAATCCTGCTGTTCGAGACCGCCCTGCTCTCGTCCGGATTCTCGCTGGATGAACCCGGAGTGCACGCTTCCCGCATTTACCGCATGGTCAAGCTGGGTCTCGGTATCGACGAAGACGATGTCCCTAGCTCCGATGAGCCCGTTGCTGCTGTTGCTGCTGACGGTGCCGCTGGTGATGCTCCACCACTGGTCGACGATTCCGAGGATGCTTCGCACATGGAGGAGGTCGATTAAACGACGGGATCACACACCCACAATACTTTTGTTGAAAGAGACTGACCTTTTATTTTCGGTTTTCGCCGTGTTTTAACGGTCTGATGAGCGGAGGCGTATGCATTGGATCAAAAGCTTTTCGTTTCCTTTTACTAGAAGTACCTACCATTTTCAGTCGTAGAAGCACTGACATTGACATTCTCTTTTGACAAGAGGTGGCCGTATCTAAGCTAATCATAACTAATGCATTACATAGTAAATGTAGTCTGTAAGTCGGTACCTACTTACGCTTCTTGTATTTAAACTTATGGGATATTGTTCAAAACATAGCATTCTACATTGCATACAGAATAAAATTAGATTGGTCAGAATGTAAGAATAACTTGTGTGGTTGACGAAAGAAAATCCCAAATTGATCCACTGGGCAGCATCATTACTTTCCCGTTACTTCACTTAGTTCAATCGGTAAAGGCGCAGCTATAAAGCAAAACCATGCTGGAGGTAGCTCGGTTCGATTCCCGGTGCGCTAGGAATTTTAAGGGTTGACATTTGTTTTAATAGAGTTGGTACACAATGGCCCTTGTTACCGATGTCACTTCACTTCGTTTTCACCGTGAAGTGACACTCGTAAAAAGGGCCAATAGCAACTATGGAATACAGTCGCTATATTTACAGTCAGGCGGAGAGAATTTCGGGAACCAATCGAGAACATACCACGGCCTATATTCTTGAACATTGCATTAAATAAATGTTGGAATCTCACCAAAAACAACGTTTCGTTCACAAATTTAAGATGAGTCTGTTAATATAAGTGAAATATAACAATTGGATACATTTTAATTTTTGGTAAATTTTCTTCAAATCATTTTTTGTCGTTTATTTGATTTGTTTTCATCAACAGAATAGAAATAGTCCCAATGATGTGTTGTAAAAATAAAGTACAGATTATACAGACTGCATACACTACAGTTACAAACGAAAATAACAAGAAAAGCATTAGGGGTTTTGATCTAATTTCCGTCCTACTAAGCACAAACCTCTCTTTTCTGAACGAGTTTAAACAAAAAGTGGAATATTTCTATCAAAGATGACTTGCAAATTTATTCACCTTTCCATACGTACCATTGGATTTGATAAAGAGTCACAAATTGTTGAGATATTGTCTAAAATCTAACACTGCTTCTTGATTCTAAATTCGTTCTACGAGTTTCAATTCCATCCTAACGCATTGAAACGCTATTAGATTTTCTTCGTCCTACGGATAAACGTAGAAAAAGGGGATTCGCTAGGAGCGCTTCTTTTGGTTTGAGAACAATGATCGTAAATATTCATATGATGCGCTCTAACAGGATTTATGTTGTAGCTAATGAACTAACGCAACGCACCCATTATTGATTTGTGCACGGTGAAATCATTGATATTATTGATCTTTTCTGATCGATAGAACGGAAATGGGCGATTAAGACGAAGTAGCGATCTACCCTACCAAGTTACTAAAAATGTTTAAGTCTAAAATTTTACTCTTAGCTGTTTGCGTCAAGCGCCTTCGGTCAGCAAAAAAGGCAGAGAATCTTCGGCGAAGTGGAAATCGAACGTCGACGCTAATCGGCTGAAAACTCGCTGCAAGCCCTACATACCGCTCCCTAAGCTATAATTAGTTCGAAGAAGTGACATTGATCAATTGGCAGCGATTCTCGTAGCTTGGAAGACGAAATGGGTATCTCCAAGCCAGCTTACGGAGCGCAAAGCGAAGAAAACTTTGTTGAACAGATTCAATTCGCTCGGCCCTATTATTGTAGTTTGGGCAGCAGACTGCAGAGGAGTATTTCAACGTAGATCGTACGAGAGAGCAGTAGAGCGATTTCAAAAAGTATATGTCTGTGAAGTTCTTAGTAATCTTGAAGACAAAGCCAAGAGTTCTGGACACTTTGTCGACGACAGACGATATATGGTGTGAGTATGTCAGCTTTGAGTCCATAAAAACGTCCAAGTATTTCACGCAATGCACCCGGTCGATAGTCGTGCCTAGTAATTTGTAGTTGAAAATAATCGGTTGTTTCTTAGGTGAGAAAGTGATGATTGTACACTTAGCTGGGTTGACCACCAGTCGGTTTAGACTACACCAGTCAGCAAGGATGTCAATCTGATTTTGGAGAGAACGGCAGTCGGCGAGTGAGCGGATGCGCAGAAAAACTTTCAGATCGTTTGTAAACGATAATCGTGGCCCTGTGATAACATGGTGAACGTCTTCGAAGTAAAGGAGAAATACCAATGGTCCCAGATGGCTACCCTGAGGTATACCGGACTTTGCGCAGAAGTTTGCTGACCGACAAGTACCCAAAGTTAGTGTTAGTTGGCGCTCCGTGAGGTATAAACGAAACCATCTCAAAAGATTTCCACCGATCCCTAGCCTATCAAGCTTATAGCGATCGCAATTTCGTGGTTCAGCTGCCGTAAGGTTTGTGTAAATAACGGGGGGAGAGGTAGCAGCTCATCGATTCTTCCGGTTCGCCTCCTAGCATCGTGCTATAAGGTACCAGACGATAACCAGGGTAGTTGATCGATAGCTCGATGACGTCATTTCGTTGGCGTCTGCAATGGGAAATTCTCATAGCAGGCGTTGACGATGGGACGTTGTCGAGTTGTTGAATAGCAACTATCGTGGTAACTCACCGATTACCTGTCGATCTGCCAAATTTGGAAAGACGTCTGCATTGAATTGTCTCATATAATAATATTCCGCCCACTATATCACAAGAAATTGCGAGTAGCTGAGTGGAATGGAGATAAGTTAAGCATTGGGTACAGGACCAAGTCTCCCCTGGGTGGTGCCAAAAGATGAGCGCAATAGAATCATCAAGTTGCCATAAGGCACGGAATGAGACTATTGCATGGCTGGGTAGTCAAAGTCTTCCATTCGTTAGTCATTTCAGGTGGATCAGAACAGGTTTAGGTGGGCGTTGGCCAGATTTGGATTTTTCAGATGTAATCCTGGATAGGACCCTGTCATTGAACGTCGCGTGAAAGTGGAACTTAATGAAGGCCTAAGTACTTTTTTGTAGTTTTTAGTTTTCGGATTTGAAAGATCGTCGGTTACAGTGGCCTGCTTACTGAGCAGAAAAACGCGGTCCCAGGTCCTTACATATCAAAGAGATTTATGGTAAAATCGCTTGTGTATCGTGTATTTTGCGAAACTCGTCGTTGGTTCCGGGTTTGAATGGATACACAAATTTGAGCAGAACATCATGAGTCTAATCTCAGGCCCATCCACATTCAAGATTCGTCAATCGTTTTATTTGTTAATATGACTACATGGTAATAACAACAATCAATACAAAACTAACGATTTTAAATTGGCTCACCACTTTAGTAGCCTATTGGTCCCAAGCAAACGATTAACGTACCCTATTCTAGTCGAAATTCTATTACTACACTATGTTTGTTTTGATTCGCTATGAAAGTTTGACAGATAACATCAGGGGTGTGTGGATTCATGCAGAACATGCCGGGGTGAGTGAAATAGCTTGGGACTGCTTGGGACCGTTGTTCTGGTACTGAGTGAGCCAAAAATAATAATGATTTTCTTCGGGACCCAGTAGTCTTAGAGTTACCTCTATGGTAATAACAGCAACTCGGTGATTAAAAAGGTGCTCGTCTGCCTAGTGGCAAACGTTTTTGCTTACTGAGCAGAATACCGTGGGTTTAGTCCCAAGCTCCTTCGCGTTATATGATCGTTAGGACATCAATTCAGCTTATCGTTTACCAAAACGAACCCTGCTGCAAACCCAACCCTCTTATCCAACATCCCAGTGATTCCTCGTGGAAGTGCAGAGGTGTTCTCGGCTTCCATCAAAGCGAGTGTCATGTCAACACAATCCTTCCCATTCCTTTCTTGACCTGTGTTCGGGCGCGGCCGGCGCTGGTATTGCCTAATTTAAGCTCACCAGTTTTTACACATTGAGGATGATTGCAAGCATCGTCTATTGGTTCTCTGTGTAATTACAGCTGATCTGGCAGTAACAGAGTAGCAATCGTGGGCGGTCAATCAAGCTCAAGCTCAAGCGTAAGGTTTGTGTAAATAACGTCCGTTTGGGCCGAGCAATCAAACTGTCTGCGACGTAAGACGTTAGGTACAGCAGGTTCGTAGTTGTGGAACGCCCAGTTATGAATCCGTGTTGATCTATACTTAGATATTGCTTGCAATGCGCATTTAGGGACTCTATGACATAGTTTGATGAGGTTTTTCAAAGTTCACTGAACATCTACACAATTTGCTTCTCTTTTATAGAAAGTTTATTGAACTTCTACGCAGTTCCCTAAACTTCTATGAGATTCCATGAAATTTTTCAACGTTCTCAGAACTGTTACGAAGTTTTCCAAACTACTACGAAATTTCTTGAAATCAAAGATGTTCCCATAACGTCACATCTATTTTTCACTCATTTTTATAAATCAGAAATATTGAACACAATACCAATACCAAAACAGGGAAGTAACTGTAGTAGCTGGATCACCTATAGGTTAAAAAATGAATGTAAATTGATTTGAATTTGGAACAAATCAAGAGTAAAAAAAAAACATAGTTGAGCAGTTTTGGGACGACCTTTTACCAGAGATTTTAAGAAAATTAGGCAATAAATTGCAGATTTTTTTAGGCTTGGCATAAATAAAACCCTATTTTCTTCTAGAAGAAGCATTCTACAAAAGTGCTCCATTGTAAAGTTTGAGTGATAGGAAACGTGATTTTAAACTGCTTGAATGATGTGATTAATTGCCCATGCTAATATTGAAAGTGACTATCGGGATGGTAACATTGTTTCCCTCATCCCTCATCAAGTGACACGGAATCAAAACGGCACCATCCTGAACGACGACCTGCAAGAGGCTCACTACACCATCCTGGCGCTGGACACTCCCACCCGGCTGAGTCGGTCCGGCGGGCACTCCATCATCGACATCTTCGCCAGCAACATGGGAAACAACATCTCGCAACCTGTGACCCACCAGAAGCTGAGTTCGGACCACTATCCGGTGGTGACCGAAGTGGGCTCATCCGTCAACCGATCATCGTGTCAGCTGGGATCAGTTCTAACACTGTATCGACTCCACTGTCGATTACGGTATCCTTCCGGAGACGCCCGAAGACGTTGAACGGTGTCTGCATTCCATCGAGGAGGCGATATCCCGAGCCACACGAAACGAAAATCAATTATTTTATTCACGTGTTTCACTTATACATTTTTGTCAAAACAGCAGCCTTATGCATTCCATAAGACAAACCACATAGGTCCTATAAGAATGCATAAAAGGTATGTGTGGCCGCTTATGCATTTCATTTGACACATGATCTTCATTAGCTTTTGCAAGGCGTCTGCTTATTAGTTGACTTATACATTTTATGAATAATCAGTAATAGAAATTTGCCAAAAGGTATAAGGAGATTTCTATCCGTGCAGGGAACAACACGTGCCAGTATCTAGACAGGTGAGCGATACTCTGAATCTTGACAGGTCTACCAAAGACCTTATAAGACTCCGTAACACCATCCGAAGGCAGTACCAACGCTCTGGTCTGCCTGTCCTTAAGACCCACTGTAATCGCCTAACAAAAACCATCCAAGTCAGAAATCAGGACTTTGCTAACAGGATCCGCTCTCTCCCAGATTTTGCAAAGCCCTTTTGGAAACTAACCAAAATTCTTAAAAAATAAGCTAAGACCCATTCCAGCACTGACCCCACTGGATCGTTACGGCGACCCAGTGGTTCATCTGATAACTCCCGAAGAGAAGGCAGCAGCGATAGATCAACACTTCGTCAGCTCCCATAATCTCGGACAAAACTTCGTCAGCCCTCACAAAGCTGAGGTTGCTGAAAACGCAACCAACCTCCATCAGATTACCAATATTTTTTTTACGTTGGATACAAAATTGAAAACAGTCATTTTGGATGCGTTACGAAAAATTAAAAGATTTTGAACGATAATAACTCAACCGTCTCTCGATAGATTTACGAGATAATGGCATCAATCGATTGGAAATATTTCTAGCAATTTGCTGAATGTTTCAAAACTATTGATTTCATTCTGTAAACTATTGAAAAATGGTTAAAAGTAAACCATTGTCTAAAGATGGTGAAAATCGATTGATTTTTTTATATTCTTATACTTTCTCCAACCGAGACATCAGATGCGAGTATCTGACACCTCTGATATTTTCTGTTCTGCTATATAAGCGTCCAACAAGGTCGCCCGTTCCATCATTGTCTATCCGATCGTCGACCCAGCAGCAGAGCAGCGGACGCAGAGCAACGGCAGCAGAGCAGCGGCAGCAGACCCTGGGGGCGAAAGGGCAACTACGCCGAGTGCGTTGGTGCCAGTGCTCCGGTATACTGGGCCGCCGTCATGGAATGCCCAGCTACTGCAGTTCTCAGTCGGTCGTATTCACCGTCTGCTCCGCAAGGGCAACTACGCCGAGCGCGTTGGAAAAATGGCCCTTTTCAGGGCCACAACATTATCAAGAAAGGGGTCGTCCATTAATTATGTCACACATTTAGGGGGGAGGGGGGTTTTGAAAACTGTGATGAGCCATACAAAAAAAAAAATTAAGGTCCATACAAAAAATGTGACAAATGGGGGAGGGGCGGTTGAAAATGGGCCAAATTTGCGTGACATAATTAATGGACCATCCCAAAGAGTTTAACGATTAATTTTCTAATGCCTTTCCGACACTTGAATATCGAAAGTTGAATCTTCGCAGAGCCATAGATTCCATTTTTATTGCATTTCTACAAAACTTTTTTCAGAATCGAACTCGTCTTCACAGACTGTGTGAACAAGAACGATGCATCATCGAGCACAACCCGTTCCGTTCCAAAATCGTCCTCATCACAACCTCCAAAACAACCATCTACCCTCTCGACATCTCGAGTGGATTTCCCGGTTCATCATACCACCTAGCGCTGTTCTACTGATTGGTAATAATATTTACCCGGAGTTCACCGCACTCGTGGTTGAAGCAAAGCGCCCGGCATGCAAACCGCTCATCAAAATCGCCATCGCCATCCGGTACCCATGCTCGGCATAACCATCATTCCAAAACCACAACCAAAACGGCCCTTTTCAGGGCCACCAATAATTCGACAAAGAGTTAGTTTTGAAGACAATTTCTTTCCAGAATATCACAGTTACACTTAAATTTGGGGACTATACTGGGGTGTGGGAACGCTGGAAGGGGAGATGCTGTCTGTCTTCGAACTACCAACATCATTCCAAAGCTCCTCCAGGACAACAGAGTAGAGCAAACCGAACAATATCAGCCCAATAAAACGGCCCTTTTCAGGGCCACCAAACTTTCGCAAAAGAGTTATTAAGGAATATTCCTAAAATATAATATACACAATTAAGTACAACACATAACAGACGTTATCCAACGCCAACCCTGCGGTCGTATCTAGTATACAACCCTTCCAACTTTTTCCGAGGAATCCGAGATTACGGCTCACGAACTGTTGGCCTACATCAAATCATTTAAAAACAGGTCCAGGTTTCGACAACATCAAACCTGTTCGAAAGAGCAGTCTACCACCGGCTCCTGTTACAACATCTGCCGAAGAAAACAACTTGTTACTCGAGGAACAGTTTGGTTTTCGGAAAGGTCGTTCGACCGTCCACCAGCTGACTCGAGTAACAAACATTCTCAGACGGAACAAGTCTGTTTCGAAAACATATGTCATGGCGTTGTTGGACGTTGAAATTGCAGCACTACGGTCTTCCAATCTTCCTAGTGAAGATAATAAACAACTATCTATCGAACAGGACGTTCCGAGTCTCTCTGAATGGCATCACATCGGATGCTTTCAACATCGGTTGCTGGGGTTCCACAAGGAAGCATCCTTGGCCCCATTATATTCAACCTGTTCACCTCCGATATGCCGGCTCTCCCTGATGGTGGATCGTTGTCTCTGTTCGCAGATGACACATCCATCGTCTACAAGGGTAGGGTCATCGGAGCTCTGACTGCCAAGCTTCAGAGAGGCCTGGACGTCCTGTCTGAATATTTCAACAGCTGGAAGATCCGTATCAACGCGGCAAATACCCAGGTAATCATCTTTCCACACTCTAAATCTCCCAGACTTGTTCCGTCGGTGAATAATAATGATCTGCCTGAACGGCACAGTGGTGGAATGGTCGAAAGAGGTAGTCTACCTCGGCTTAAAACTAGCTTAACAGCAAGCTGATTTTCAGGGAGCCAAGTGTAACATCTTGATAAGATCACTGTATCCACTCATCAATGGGAGGTCTACTCTATCCCGGAAAAATAAGCTTGCTGTCTACAAACAAATCATCCTTCCCGTAATAGAATACGGGATGCCAATCTGGGAGAGTTGCGCCAAATGCCATCACCTTAAACACCAAAGGATCCAGAACAAGATCCTTAGGGTGGTCCTAGACAGTTTCCGGCGGACTAGAAATTCTGAGATCCACCTCCTGACTGCAATTCAGACATTAGAAGAACGGAGAGTGTTCATTAGACTGATGCAAAATTTGAAATTTTCGCTCCACAGTGCTTAAACGATTCCAAATTGAGTCCTGTTTAGCCTCGCAAAATTTGACCTACTTTAGTAAGAAACTGACTTGGCACAAATCATTTCAAGTTTGTATAGGAATTACTATGGGAAAACTTATGGTTTTGATCATATCTATCTAACAATTCACCACATCACTATGCTTTTAAAAATGATAACAGTGATTGTAGCAAATCTTCTCAGCTACAACTTTGTTGGAAACCACTTTTGAATCAAATGTTAGGAACAAAAGTTATTAAGGCCGTTCGCAATGCTGTTGTATTTTATAAGGACTGTTTCAATTTGAAACTAGAACAGAAACGCACCTCTCGCAATGCTGAGTTGCAGTTTCATTATTCGAGCACTATTTTGCACCAGATTTGCAACTGCTCGACTATTCTGTTTTATTTCTGAGCGAGTTTGAAACACGAATGGAACTCTGTTTCAAATTTCTTTGGATGTGTTTAAGATGTTTCGAAGAGCTCCACAAATAAAAAACGGAGAACTTCATAGAGAACAGTAAAGTTTATGGAACTTTATGATTACAAACATGTTTTAGAACTGTGCGTTGCGCTGATCGTGTTGCAGTTTTATTTTTGACAGTTTCAAATTATAGAATTGACGAGTAGTTTAAAACAATTTTGAAACTCAGCATTGCGAACGGCCTAATGATTCAAGTCACTGATGTCTTATGATTTTGCTCATTCAACTGTTCAGCAGGCAACATTGGTGTTTCTGGTGCGAAAAATAGAGCACAAATATCATGGCTACTATGTCACACTGCAGAATACAGTGTTGCCTACAGAACAGCTGCTTCATCATGCCATAAGATTATCAATCTCTTAAACAATTAATAAAAATTTAATTTGACATTTGGCTGAAAAACGATATTGCGCAAAGTTGTAGCTTAGAAAATTTCCCATAATAATAGTTATAGAAATTTGTGAAAAAGCAATATGGAAAATGGGTAGAAGACAATGAACAAAAAGTTTGGTTTTCCCATAGTAATTTCCATATAAACTTCGAATAGTTTGTGCCAAGTCAGTTTCTTACCAAATGAGTTTAAATTTTGGGAGGCTAATCAGGACCTGATTTGAAACCGTTTGAGCACTGTGGAGCGAAAATTTCAAATTTTGCATCAGTCTAGTGTTCATCCTGGAAAGGTTCAGAGACACCTGTCTGAGATCAAATCATCACATCATACGTGATCTAGCACGTTAGGTAAGGTTATACTCGTAGTTAGGTAGGTTTTCACTTTATCAATTAAACAAAACACACCCCCAAAGGGGTGTTCTGTAAACTAGTTGAAAAACGCAAATATTAAATTACAACATCAAATTAAACAAAGATGAATTAATTAAAATGTTAAATCAATGTACTATCATAATCAACAGAAATAAACATAATTTTACTACTACTACTACTGACACTCTCTCGCGTTTTGCATCTCTCCTGCTCTCAATGCCAATTCACGCTCAGCCATCCCATCCAACAGCCAAGACTCAATCGACTCAGAGCAGAGCAGACTCAACTGCTTCAATCAGTCTCCAATCAGCTCTCACTTCAGCTGCATCACTATTTTCCTATCACTGCAATAATTTTACGAGCCATTCAAACATTCCAGCCGCGGATGTTTATCTGTACCAAGTGCAACTAAGTTAACTTTGCTCCATCCACACCACTTCAATATTGTACTACTAGTGCTAAGAGAGCAGGTTCTATCTTCGCTAATTCCCGGCACTTCAAATCTGGAACGACCTCGTTCAGCAGGGCGTAGGCTTTGCCAACGGACAGGTGGCTTTGCGAGGAGAGAAAACAGCCACATACCAATTGATCGCGATAGAGAGGCTCACATGAACGGTAAGTGATAGATAAGTACCTAGTGCAGAAATAATAATCCATTATTATTTGTCGTATCGGGAAGCTGTTTAAAGGTGAGCCACACATCACGTTTCCGACGGTAGGACGTTAGCGTGTCTTCCTTAAAACGTACGTGATTCGATCAAATTCGATTTCTGTTCGTCCAAAGTGGGGTGCTGAACCAGCAGTGCAGCGATTTGGTGGTGATAAAATTGATTGAAGTCATCAGCTATTCTTAAGGCCATGTTCATGATAACCCTGATGGCTATCCTAGGTCGACTCGCCGAATCGAAAGAAAGAGATATGTGAGAACAAACGAGGAGAGGACAAGAAACCGGTTTCCCCATTTTGATTTCAAATACCGAAGAAAGTAAAAACATACCGAATCCATTCTCGTTCTACGAATCCTTCGTGTCGTAAAAATATGACTTATGGTGAATGATTCCCATCAATAACGATCATTAATTAATTTCCTGGAACCGAATTAAGGTTTGGGTGAGAGCGAAGATGTGGGTCGATGGGTTTAGTGAAACAATTGAAACAGTATTTGAGTGTGTTTAATTGAATGAAACCGACTAGATAGAGATCGTCGCGAGCTGTTGGCTGGGTGTAATTATTTTGTCAACTACGAGCTTTTTTTTCGCGTTGTTTTATTTGTTCATGGATCGTCAACGTCGATCATCATCGCTACGTAGGTACCTACCCGAATAAAAATACACGATTAACATAAAAAATACAATCGCTTGCAATGTACGGTAATGTAGTCTCAACAAATGAGATTTAATGTACATGATTCCGATAGGGTGTTTTACGTTTTCGCCAATTTCTTTACCTGTTATAGTCACGTGGCTTGATAAGGTCCATAAGCGCTCAATGTTTCATCCTTATGGAAAAAAAAGCTCTCATGGACCTAATTTACCCCTTGACAATAAAAGGTACATAAATCCCCTGAATAGCCCGGTGGGTGGTGCAGTCCACCCACCGCTATTTCTCGGTTGTGCTCCAACCAATTGACCTGATTTTTTGTTTGTGATTAGTGTCAATCATATTCTAGTGAACTACAAAAAAAAAATCAGCTCAATCGGTTGGAGGACAGCCGAGAAATAGCGGTGGGTGAACTGCACCACCCACCGTACTATTCGGGGGATTCCTGTATAGGTAGCGTACGGCTTCGTCATTTACTCTGCAACAATATTACATGAACATGAATAACTAACTAACTTCAATGTAACTCCACTTAAATATAATACAATGTAAATGCACAATTTCCAATCCTGCAACAATATCTCAAATGCATTGGTGAAAAATGCATCAAACAACAGGATCGAAATGAGGTCGTACCTACTTTGTTTTCTGTAACAAATAGCGAATTCGTTTATTATTCAGTTCCAACCTGGATCGGGTATCAAGATTGGGTCTGCTTGTTTTCTGACAAACGTCAGTTTGCTCGTTTGTTTTTAAAACCTAGCTCAGGTTGAGGTTCACACTGACAAAAAGTTCGGTTTCGCACTGGGTTGGAACTGGTGTTAACCCCGATAATAAACGAATTCGCTAAAAGAAATTCAACGTCAAAAGAATTTTCATTCGGCGTCTTTGCTGTGCATCTGTATTGAGAGGGACATCGACGCGCGTGAAAAGACCTGGTGCGTGTGTAGAATGTGGTTGGAAACCGGTAAAAATGAGCACCTATAGTAGTACCTATAGGAACGTTTTAACCTAGCGAAGAAAAGTGCATTTCATCTTTTCTCGTTAGACGTTTGTCTGTGCTGGGCTGGGTGGGTTCAAGCGTCGGAATGACCGTTAAATGAACAAATAAACAAATAAGCAAGTTCGTGTGTATGCATACATACAACCACATTACGGAGAATTGTGTCACCGCAGGTTCTACTAGCGGCTAGTGCAGTGTGAGTAGTACTATATAGTAGTAGTGCTGGACAAAAAGTTCTGCTGTATAATTGCCTTGAACTTGAAAGATGCTAATTCGTATGTTACATACGAGATCTGCGCCGGGGCTTCATTAGATGAGTAATCTTCCAAGAGATTTTCCACAAACCACGTGCACTACCCTCACCTACGCTGAAATCCATCCATACAATTAAAATTACAAATGACTAAGAAAGAACTGGACTCTGCAAAAAAATTCTAGTTGAGAGCATGTGCATAAGCATTAGGGTGGGTCATCGTTATGTGTATGTGTGTGTATTCAATCTAACCCCGACTGGCCGGCAGTTGTATTATGGAATAAAGTCATCTGCAATTTCTCGTTTGCGGTAATTGCAGGCAGCTTTAGTTCGGGAGTTAGAAGGTGTAAGAATCGTCCTGGTCGTTGACGGCCGGGTGTTTTCTCACCTGTCGAGAGAAGTTCGTGTCCAGGCTATTTGTTGGGGAAGGAATTTCAGTATATTCGCAAGGGGTTCCCTCAGCAAAAGACGACACGAACTGACCACTTTTTTTGACAATATTTTCAACGAGATTAACTATTTTTATTTTATTGAGGAAAACATCTTACAAACTTGGAGACAAGTCAACTAACTTTTTTACTCTGAACACATTTTTCACTCTTTTTTTCACACCCGCTTGCTTCGATGGTTATTTTGTTGCTATGGTTACGCGCAGGGGTGGCCTGACAGTTGGCGGCGCGACGACTGCGATACCCGAGTAGAAAAGTTCGGACTGGCAGTGTTAGCAACATTCTCCGGGCCAGGAACCGAGCTGATTGCCTGGAGCAGCACAACCTTGCTTACAGGTCTTTTGTAGGTCGACTTTGATGTCCGCACTGCAACTGTTCTCACCTTTCCATCCGGTCCTTGGTAGATCTTCTCTACAACTCCTTTCGGCCAGCTTCCTCGGTGTAGCGATTCGTGCACTATCATCACTAGATCACCGACGTGATAATCGTGGTAATTCCTGCTGTCCGGCCACTTGCGGCTTCTGATCAACTCCGGACGGAACGAGGCTGAGACGCGGCAGCACGACAGTTAAGATCTCGTTCATCAAAGTTATGGTCGAACTGGATTGAATTGTTTCGGCCGAGCAGCAACATGTTTGGAGTTATCGGTTCAGGGTCCAGGGGGTCATCCGGAACGTGTGTCAAAGGTCTGTTGTTTACGGTGTTCATTGTCTCGCATAAAGCAGTACGCAGCACCAAGTCCGTAGGGTGCCTATCCCGTAACATTGCACGAAGGGCAGTCTTGACAGAGCGTACTAAACGTTCCCAGCAACCTCCGAAATGAGGAGCACCAGGTGGAATAAACTTCCACTTAACACCTCTGACGCTCAGCGAATCTTCAATCTGCGGCTGATCCAGAGTTCTCACCAGTTTTTTCAGTTCAGCATCTGCACCAGTAAAGTTGGTACCATTGTCGGTCATGAAGCACTGTGGTAAGCCACGGATGGACATGAAGCAGCGGATGGCCATTATGCAGCTGCCCGTGTCTAAAGATGGCACGACTTCAAGGTGTACAGCTCTTGATGTCATACACGTGAACAATACTACCCACCTCTTTTCAAGACGACGACCAACTTTTACAGACAACGGTCCAAAATAATCAATACCCGTACATGTAAACGAACACACGAACGGGGTTGTTCTTTCCGGTGGTAGGTTTCCCATTTGCGGAACGTTCGGTTTTGCTCTAAGCTCACGACACTTGACACAGGACATCGTGTTCTTCTTTACCTGTGAGCGAATCTTCAGGATACGGTGCCGTTCCTTGATATTGTTAACAACGGTCTCCATGCCTTGATGTGCGTTGGCGATATGGTACATACGAATCAGTAGAGTTGAAAACTGGTGGTTGTCAGGAAGAATCACAGGATTGTTCACTTCAAACGACTTTCCATCATCCTGCACACGACCTCGCATACGGATGATTCCGTTTTCCAGAAACGGCGAATATGTTTTCAAACGACTATTGCTTTTCACGAATCCGGTCTGCTTCAGACTGCGCAAATCTTCACAGAAAATTTGCGACTGTACCTTCCTGTACCAGGCACTCTTAGCTTCATCCATGTCGTTCACGAAGATTGTCAAACATCTAGGCTTTTTACACTTTGGCAGTGCTAAAATCTTTCGCATTTTCAGGTAGTACGCAGTAGATCTAATCAAGCGATTGAAATCAGAGAACCTCTCAATATCGGGAAGGTCAACCAACTCAACTTCAACCACGGTACAACACATCGGATCCACGGAAACATCAGCAATCACTTCGGTATGGAAATTTATCAACTCAGACGAGGACATCTCTAGCGGTTCATTGTTCGGCCTATCCCGATACAGAAAGTCAGCACCTTTCAACCATTCCTGCATACAACCAAACTTGGAGGACTTCGTAGCCAAATCAGCTACGTTCAGCTGTGATGGAACCCAATGCCACAGATCAACTCCATGACCATTCTCCTTAATTTTTATGACACGAGAACCAACATACGCCGTGAGCTTCTGACTCGTCTTCAACCAACTCAAGCAGATTTTAGAATCGGTCCAGAAGTACTGCATATTCACTTCTATTTTTAGTTCGTCTTGAACTACCTTCATCATTTGACTTGCAAGAACACACCCTTGAAGTTCAAGTCGTGGTACCGTCGATGATTTCAGTGGAGCAACTCTTGCCTTGGCATACACCAATGCAACGTGTGACTTACCGTTTCGACGATGAACCATGTAAATCACACATGCAAAAGCCTTATCGCTTGCGTCACAGAAAGCATGCAGCTCAGCACCGACAAAGGACGATACCTCCGGGAAGTAACACCTCGCAACACGCTTAGCAGTTTCGCTCAACCACTCCATCCATTTCGGGACCAGGCTATCAGGAATTTCGTCGAACCATCCGGATTGCAACCGCCACAGTTCTTGGAACATAATCTTCAGGTGTATCGTAATCGGACTGAGCAAACACAATGGATCGAAGATGCTCATCATAAACTTCAGCAGCTGCCGTTTGGTAGGCACCGTGCCACCAGTACGGAAGTTCTCATCCAGTTTTGGAAAATCCAGCGGGAACACAAATTCATCTGAAAGAAGATCCCACCTGATACCGAGTACACGAGTGTCACTTCCTTTCTTCTCGACTACCAAAGAAGGGTCAAGCGAATCCAGAAGAGTTTCAGAGTTCGATGCAAATTTCACCAGTTTGAATCCTCCGTGATCGTGTGCCTTCACCACTCGCTGCACCAGTTCAATGGCTTGTTCCTCCGTGTGCGCGCAATCAAAATAGTCATCGACGTAGTGTTGTTCCAGCACAGCTCGTGCAATGCCAGGGTACTTTTCTTCCAGTTCCATTGCATTGAAGTTTTTGATGAATTGTGCCATCGAAGGAGAAGACACAGCGCCAAATATCATCACCATCATAATGTATACGCTGGGAGGGGGGGCTAGAGCGATCCATACCACGGAAAAAGAAACGCTGGGAGTCCTGATCCAATCTACGTATGATGACTTGATGATGAAAAGCAATCTTCTTCTTCCTAGCGCGCATCAGGATCGCAATCAATGCGGGAACGAAATCAGGACCTTTCAGTTGCAGATCGTTCAACGAAAATCCGTGAGATTTGGCCTTGGCGTCCATAACCAATCGGAACTTATCGGCAGTTACCACGCTGAAGTGAGGCAAATACCAGGTGTTCGGTGTTTCAGCAACATTTCAGGCTCCAGTTTTCGAGCATATCCCTTCTCCACGTAGTCCTGGATCTTACTACAGTAGTTATCAGCGAAATCAGGATCGGTATCCATCTTCTTCTCGGTGATCTGAAGTCGACGCAGTGCATGTGGCTTGCTATCCGGAAAAGCGAAGTTATTGTACTTGTAGATCTGTTGTCGCGTGATTGTACGGTTCATTATATCCAGTGCACGTTGATCTTCGTCTGGTATCTTCGGGGACTGACCAGTGATGCCAAAGTCTTCCACCTTGTACATCTGCTTCATCAGATCCGTTAGCTCGGTGTCATCGTCTTCAGAACACATCAGGAAAGCATGATGATCGTTTGATCCAGCAGCGTTCGGTTCAATTACTCCGTGAATCGTCCAACCCAGATGGCACCGAGTCAACTGCAAACCGTTCAGTGAGTATTGCACCGTCTTCAGAGGTACAATCAGACCAGCGTTGTTCGAACCAATCAGCATACAGGGACGAGCATCTTGTATCGCAGCCAGTTTATCCTCAGCAACCCATTTCAGAATGCCTGGTAATTCAAGTCCATTCCGAGGTTACTTTCACTCAGAATAAGCCCCGGATGTATGCATCACCGTTATCAAATGGATATTGGTTTTACATACACACTTCCAGGCTTGAATAGATTCTTTTCAAACCTAGCGTGTATTTAGTTTAATTTTGATATTTAATTTATAAAGAATTAATTGGTCCGGTCTCTCCATGTTCTGCTGGTCTGCCGCCGTTGATTGGTTCCTTTAGAATCCCTTGTACCTTTTCTCTAACGCTTCATATATCATTCCGTGCTTCACCGGCAATTCCCTTCCGTAGATCGTCCTTGGTCGGATCTGACATGATTCCGCCTTTTCCGGATTTTTCTTATTTTCCTAGGGAGATAAATCTGCACCAATTTCCGTTCCTGGTTCGATGTTGACTCCTTCCTCGCTGGTTGGTGTGGTCGGTGTCACATCCACCATCTGTCACTGTCTGCAAAAATATCTAACAGCAATTACCTGTGATACTTCATTCAACGAAAACAAATTTTCTGCAATTTCCATGGTCATCTGGAAGGAGGCTCGCGACTTAAGTCGTTGGTCGTTGGTCCACCGAGCGCTCCGTACATCATTGAATCATTATAGATATTAGTATGAGATGGTGTTATATGCAAAGTGAGAATGATAGAAATACAAAAGGGATTAGTTTTATCGGACTATACTTAAGCAAAGTAAGTATATACAAAGCTATACCAACAATCAATACGAAACTAACGATTTTAAATTGGCTCACCACTTTAGTAGCCTATTGGTCCCAAGCAAACGTACCCTAATTCTAATAAAAGTACCCTATTCTAGTTGAAATTCTATTACTACACTATGTTTGTTTTGATTCGCTATGAAAGTTTGACAGATAACATCAGGGGTGTGTGGATTCATACAGAACATGCAGGGGTGAGTGAAATAGCTTGGGACTGCTTGGGACCGTTGTTCTGGTACTGAGTGAGCCAAAAATAATAATGATTTCCTTCGGGACCCAGTGGTCTTAGAGTTACCTCTATGGCTATACTGCAACTATTTGGTTGCTTGGGTACTCATATGACCGTCAGAATGGTTCATGGGTTGCGAAATGAAGTATTTCTGAAAGGGATGCGTTATATTTCTCAATGTTATCCTAACGTTACCTCAATATTATATCACAGACAAACAGACACAACTCATTTAACATTTCTCACTGCAAAACATCGTCGCTAAAACACTACCGCCATCTGCCGTATACACTGTGATGGCATTTTTCTCATGCACTTTTGATCTAACTGCAATTACTCTCTTATACTCGAAATATGTGCCACGACCAAATTGACACAACAACGCCCTATACGCTCTCTGACCAAAGCGCAGGGGCATTAGGGTGGGTCATCGTTTTCTTTAAAAATGCAAAATTGACCTCATCAAGCAAGAACAACTCTTTTTTCTTTCCATTTGGGGTCCCAAATACCCGTATAAAATTTGGGGACGGACTGATCGTAGTAGGCCGCGCTTGAAGCTGACGTGTTTTTCTTTTGCTGCGTGTTTTTCGTCAGCGAATTAATTAATTAAATTTGCTTTAATTTTATTATTTTGTGCTGAAATTTAGTTTCAAGTTATCATTTAGTGATATATCGTGTTTTGACTGTGTTTGCCTTGAGGGACTAGGTTGACCTTGAATTTAACCTCCAAAATCAACGAGGCAGCTTCAGTTCCATTGTTCGATGTCGGGTTTCATTGCCTCCCGGGACCTTGGTTCTCCGAGTTCGCATGTCACACTTTCGGCGTATAGTTCTATTAAGAGATTCGTCACGGTGGGCGAGTTTGAACCCCGTCCGGTTGGTGAATTGGCCCGGGAACGTGCTGATAATGTGTCCGTCGTGAACCGATAATTTTATCGATCGTTCAACTCGGACTCTGACACAACCGACAACGCCTAATCACGCCATCTGACGATATACATCCGAGACGCACCGTAGAAAGCCTGATGGAAGCCCACAATCGCCCCATCCCAGTCCCGCGAACTGCAGCCAGCGTTCACCACAGTCGTCTCGGTTCTGAGGTTGGTGGTAGAAAGGGGGTCTTCCACCATGCTTGCACCGGCAAGTATTTTTACGATTCGAATTTTTCGTTTCGTGCTGAGTTCCCCCACATCCAGATTATCATAAATACCCCGACGCAAAAGGAGGTGGCGTCGTTGTCTTCCCTTCTCGTGACGAATGGTTCTACTTTCCAACCGGGACGCACCGTAGATAGCTCAGTGGAAGCCCTCGGTTCCTCTATCTCAGTTGCGCTATTTCCTACCAACGTTCAGCACAGCCGTCCCGGCCCTGAGTTTAGATGTGGGTCGGGGGTCTTCCAACTTGCTATACCAGGCAAGTATAAATTCAACATTGATCATTCGCTGCCTGAAGTCGGTTTGATTTTCAGCGCACAGGAATCTCCTAGCGAAGGAAACGCACGTCATGGGAACATGGAATCAACTCCGCATCAGTCGGTTCCATCTTCTTCATCTTGGACCCTGGAACGCACCGTGGACAGTATTTTGGAAGCCTCCAGCCCTTCCGACGCAGTCGCGCCCCCCGTTGACATCGCTCATCGGAGTCGGCCCGGCCCTGCGATCGGAAACGGAGAGGGGGTCTTCCGAATCTCCCAATCAGTACCTGAGTACCTGATGGGCGATGACTAGTTGGATTCAAATCTGCGCCGAACGAACTAACCGTCTCCATTGGTCTCGGTCCTGAGCCAATCGCTTCCAGTCGCCTTGGACGTTCAAGGACCTAATGTCCTCCTCAACTGCACAAAGCTAACGCGTGCGTGGCCTACCCCGATGTCAACGTCCTCTTCCGGGTTCCCTGCTGAATAATGACGTCGCTTGACGCTCTTCCGGCATTCGTGCCACATGCCCAGCCCACTGTAGCCTGCCGTGTTTTATAAGCTTCACAATATCCATGCCGTTATATACTTGGTAAAACTCGTGATTCATGCGACGCCGCCAGATGCCATTTTCCAGTTTACCGCCGAGTATTGTTCGCAGCACTTTACGCTCGAAGACACCGTAAGCTCTCCGATCGACCTCTTTCAATGCCCACGATTCGTGGCCATAAAGGGATACCGGCAGAATCAACGTCTTGTACAGCGCGAATTTCGTTTTCGTACGCAAGCTGCGGGACTTCAGTTGGCTACGCAACCCGTAGAAAGCCCTGTTCGCGGCTGCAATACGCCTTTTCACCTCGCGGGTAACATCATTATCGTACGTCACTAAAGTACCAAGATAAACAAATTCGTCCACAACTTCAAATTTTTCGCCATCTAGCACCACTTCACTACCAACACCACTATTGCTCCCACGCTTTCTACCGGCGACCATGTACTTCGTTTTGGTAGAATTTATCGTGAGACCAATCCTCGCTGTCTCCCTCTTAAAAGGCACGAACGCCTCTTCCACTGCTCTACGGTCGATTCCGATGATGTCGATGTCGTTCCTCTGCAAGCCAGCTCTCCTAATCGCTCCTTCGAGGGCGATGTTGAATAGCAAGTTCGAAAGAGCATCTCCCTGCTTCAACCCATCTAAGGTCACGAACGAGGCCGAAATCTCGTCTGCAACCCGTACACATGATTTCGAACCATCCAGCGTTGCACGAATCAGCCTAATTAGTTTCGTCGGAAAACCGTTTTCTTGCATTATCTGCCATAGCTCGTTTCTCTTTACTGAATCGTACGCTGCCTTGAAATCTATGAACAGATGATGAGTCTGCAAGTTGTATTACCGGAACTTCTCAAGGGTTTTACGCAGGGTAAACATTTGATCCGTCGTTGATCGACCCTCACGAAAACCAGCCTGGTATTCGCCGACGAAGGATTCCTCAAGCGGTCTCAATCTGTTGAACAGAACACGTGATAATATTTTGTACGCTGAATTCAAAAGCGTGATTTCTCTGTAATTGGCGCACTCCAGTCTGTGTCCCTTTTGTAGAGGGGACAAACGAGACCATCCAACCAACTAGCGGGCAATTCTTCCTCCTCCCATATCTTGAGCAGTATACGGTGGATCATCTGGTGCAGCTGCTCACTTCCGTGTTTGAGAAGTTCGGCCGGGAGCTCGTCCTTCCCCGCAGCCTTACTGTTTTTCAGCTCTCGTATCGCCTTTTTCACCTCTTCTAGCGTTGGTGGTTCCACAGCTTGACCATCGTCGTCGATGTATGTTCTGTTTGTAGATGCTCTCTCGTTCTATCCGTTCAGCAACGTCTCGAAGTACTCCTTCCACCTGGCAGCCACCATCGTTTTATCTGTCAGCAGATTACCTTCACGGTCACTGCACATGGCGGGAGACGGCGCTGTCTTACTCCTCACGCCATTGACAGTTGCGTAAAACCTTCGCATATCATTCTGCTCCATACTTTCTTGCGCCTCAGCAATAACCCGCCTTTTTCTGCGATGGGTTCGTTTCTCGGCTGAATGACAGACAGTGCAATTCCATTTCTACTGTATGGAAAAAGCTCTTTGATGAATCAGTTATCCTGAGGTTGGAACTGTGCTCGTCCGCACCTAGCAAACCTCGGATAATAACTCATCAGAACAACTGCCCCGATTCTTTATTCTTCGAAACCTTTTATACATGAATTTGTTACTTAAACTCTACACAATAGTTTTTCTCCAGTATGTACATATAAAGCGAGACAGATAGTTTTTCTCTTGGAAAGTCGGTGTCTGTTTTTTTAACAAGAATTAATGCTCCTCGCGGTATGAACGGCTATGTAGGATGCTTACTCATCAATGTTTACTTTGACCTTTCGCGAAGCACCTAGTTAAGCCAGCGCGCATCGCTGACGACGCGGTAGCAACTGTTTATAAACAACTGACCCTGGAAATGTGCAACATTGTCACTGCTGCTGTTAAGTTGTGTATTTTCTACTACCGTATGGGGGTCTATTACTGGTTAATTTCTTATT